CATCGTCTGGTAACAATCGACATTCTTTGTTCCGGTGGGACTGTAGCTTGTGCTCGTTTTCGTTGCGCTTACCTTCCCCTCTTTTGGTCTCTCCTAACTCGTATCCATATGTCGCCCACCTGGATACCCCACTATCCTGCCACGGGTCAACATTCGGTTATTTTCGTCCTTCGTATTCGTCCCGGCCTCAAGCTGGAAATTGGCCACCTCCACCCCTCTTACCATTCAGTTTTAGTGCACCCACGCAGGCACACGCCCGGCTCACCGGACTTACAAGTGGAGCTGCTCTAACTCCTTACAATACAATAATCACCCAACTTATCCGGGGGATAGCATGATCATGACTATAATTATAGGGGAAAATCATATACCAGTATAATCATATGATTTGACAGCTTTTAGAGATATTGTATCTGTATCGTTTCCATAACTTAAAGAAGTACTCAATGTCACTTCAGCTAGTCCTCCTTGTTGCGATACTAAAATTGTTGTCACCTCGTGGAATGATCAGATTTCGTCTACTTTAGCTAACGGACTGCGGTCCGCAGATATGACAGGGCACGAAAGTGTTAGCAAACAGCCAGCCCGGAGTCATGACAGCGCTGACTTCTGCATCCATGACGTGGATTCCGATTTTGTATGGATCCATACACGTTCGGGTGGTTTCTTTCACAGAATAGTTGTAGATCTATATCCACTGCAGTCTGCTAATGGCAGGATTGGGCCTAGCCCTTGGCAGACACTGCTTTAAAAATGGCAGATTCTGCCAAACAGGAATGCGCAATGGAGTCTACGTCAAGTTCACCCTGAGTTCCGAAATTAGGTAATTGCTATCGCTCCACGATGGCTAGTAAACAGAAACAATAAGCCCTATTCGTGCTTCCATTAGTTTTCATTGGTATACGGTGCATTATAGGAGTCCTGGAGTATGGGATGCTGGTATGGGTGAGCGCAGCACCCTCCACATTAGCCAAGCTCACAGCCATCCAACGTAGGGCACTCCGCGTCATTGATGATGGCTGCTACCTGCCCAGCCTGGACATCCGTCGCTCTGTTGCTGCGCTCTGCTACCTGTTCAAGCTCCACTATCTGACTGGCCCTGCCATGATCACAGCCCTCCTACCCCTGCCAGCTCCAGCCCCAGCCCGGGCCAGCGCCCGAGCCAGTGTGCGCACAATTGCAAGCCACCATCCGTTCCAGCTGACCAAGACTGTCCCACCTCAGTCTCGGAACAATGTCCTTCAGCTCTTCCCTCACTATATGATTGACGCCTGGAATTTCCTCCCAGCCTCTATCCTCAGTGCTCGCCCCTCCCAGAAGTCGATGCAGACCTTCAAGAAGAAGGTCTATGACCACCTCATGCAGTCTGACTTGGACTGGGCAACCGACCGCCTCTAGCCTCCTCCGGGATTATGCCCCTGCTTTTCCCACCCCACGCCTAATTGTCGCCAATCCTAAGTACTGTAGCATGCTAGCCTCATGTGCCTGCCGGTGAGTTGTGTATTTTGTAAAAACAATATAAAAAATAAGCGAGAGGCGAGCCGCTAGCGCTGTTTACCTGCGACAAGAATTTGATTTTTCGAAAGACGTAAAAATTCAAGTCGCAGTGCGAAGCAACACGTCAAAAATCCACCTGCTCGTTATGGCGCCTCTGGTCATCTCTCTCTTCTGGCTCGGAGTAAAACACATCGCAATCTCACTGCAACATACCGTATGTTTTCTAAACAAAATACCAAGAGAGAAAGCGAATATTGAGCACGGTCCAGTTTGCGATAATTATATCTCCTATCTGAAACACCCTCCTCTACGTGCGACACGAGGCGTCCACCCAGCACATCCAATACTTCGTCATGGGCAGAGTGGATCTAAAAGTCGGGAATTTTTCCTGCACCTCGTAGCATGTAAAGGCAGCAATCGTATTTAGAAATTGACTTCTGATGCAGAGCACATTACTACATTAGATAGACGATACATGCACTACAGCTACAGTCATGCACATACATAGTCATTGTACAGTCGTGTCAACTGAAATCCGACCACAAATCAATGCGCTGGCATTGCAAAGAATCCGCACTAGGGACTTGCGAATAATGCCAGCATTCGGCAGAAACGGCATTACGGACAAGAGAGCAGAATTTGGCAGAACAGTCGCTTGAAAAAGCAGAATATCTACCCCGAGTCCTAAGACTCCTAACTTCTAGGCGTTTCCTTGCTCTCAGCAATTCCGGTTACTTCTTACTTTCTTACAGAGGTCAAAGTTCAAAGCCAACTGGTTTTATTGGAAGGCGAACAGAGGTCAAAGTGCAATGTATGTTTCAGCACTCACGCGATGCACCACGCATTGAAGATGGCAGTTCCTCAAATTCATTTTTATTATCCTTTGTAGATCAGGTGCAGCACCGTGTTCAAAAACACTGCTCAAAGGTCAGGCAGACAGTCCACTCCCCAGGCTGAATGTTCGCCAGCAGCTAAACCATCTGTGTGACGAGCTGTGGATTTCCCTGCGGACGGTACGCATTTTGTCAGTGTCCGAAAGAGGAACCTTTCTCAGTGTACTCCTAGCAACAATTAACAAGCAGCGCATTCTTTTCTTGACTTTAGCCGTGGCTTACAATTTTACAAAAAGAAGGAGGAGATGGTACAAGTCAATCTTGAAAAGCTTGTGGCCCTTTAAAGTTCCTTCGACAGTGTGTCGGGTATGGTCACAAGATCAGACGAGAAGATTCCGCGACGTTGCGAGCTTGAAAGTCAGAACACAGTGAAACTGTCTTCCATCAGACGCCACAAGGGTGTTACAGTAGTACTATGGTGTTAGATAAGAGCGTCCTATGCCCACCATTTCCACAATAGGTAAGGTCCTAGAACAATTACACTGGTTGGGATTCATTTGTTGATGCGTTTCCGTGCGTGAATTTTCAATCTACAACGAACTTTCACAAGATTTCGTCCTCCTCTGTCAGACAGTCTAATGATGTGCTCAAACCCTGCGTAACGTATGTTTTAACGACGGGAAATTTTAGCGATTTGGTCTTTTAAGGTGGTCCTTTTTACTACATTTTCAGCTCACAGAGATGCTCAGAGACACAGTTTCAACACGGTAGTACCATTGCAAAGCATTGGAATTGCAGAATATCGGGCTAAACACAACAGCACGATCATACTAGTAATAGAACAGCATCACGCTTACAGTTATGCATGGCATACAACTTCAAGAGAACAGAATACAACACTGCAAAAAAAAAGGAATGCAAAACTGCAAGAAAACGGAACCCAAAACTGCAATAGAACGGAACAAAAAACTGCAAGAAACAGAGTGCTAAGCTGGAAGAGAAGGAAAAGGAATGCAACTTCAAGAGAAAAGAGCCGAGCACTTCAAAAGAGCTGAATGCACAGCAGCAAGAGTGTTAAAAGCATGTACGTCTCACTCTACCTCCACAATAGTTTCAGCCCTCTCAAATCCAAGCCTCAGGCTCCAGGACGTTTGGAGACTGGCAATGGCGTCAAGCAGTCACCTGGTGTGCTGCGGCATCACTGTGGAGGCTTTCAAGTCAACCTTGACATTCTCCAGCTCCAATCCAGCGTCCAATGCCTCGTTAACTTCAACCGCATGCCACTCAGAGAACTGGCGCTTCATGTCGGCTTTGAACACATTGTTCACGGCAAGATCCAATGGGTGCTGCTCACCGGTACAGCCTGCAGAGATGAAGATGCGACGGATGTTGTTGTCTTCAGCTTCTATCCTACAAAGTCACATCGGTAAGCTGCAAACGCGTTATAAATCATAAGAGCTGGCTGTGACGGCTTGTCATGAGCCTCACGCCATGACGCACGCACGGCACGATCACAGCATCGACGTACTCAAGCATTGTCTGCTCTGTACTCCAGTGCGACACACTTTGAGAAACATTCCATTCATCCGGGAAGGTCACTTTCGGGTGGCACATCTTCGTCTTCCTCTCGTACAGCACCTGGGATGGCAGAAGACATCCGGACGCAGACACAGCCAGAAGGATTGTTATCTCTTGTTTGTCGTCATTCCCCGCCACCGCGACTTGTTTGCTCCCCTTCTCTGCTCGAGTCCAGGAGCTTACTGGTACCAGCTTCATGCCAGTCTGATCCCAATTGACAACCAGCTCAAGTGGAATCGAGTTCGTAGTCACTGCCTCCTTTACTTTCTCCAGGAAAACAAGTTTCGGTGCCGGAAATTAAGCAGGCAGTTTTCGAGCATCCTTGGTGGCCTTCCGCTTCACAAATCCGTGACGCTGACGAAAGGAGTTGGCCAAGTCATTCGTGAGGACAACTGTTTCGCTGTTTTCTCTCAACAGCGAGGGCTACCGGTGCGCGACGATTTCCTTCGCTCCAGCGATGATGATACGTGTGCTGACGCAGCCACCGGCTTGTCGGAAAGCCTTTTGCGTATTTGGCTACTTCACCGTCCAGGTCACCAAGCAGCTGTGAGCGACCCCCAGCTACGTGAAGGAGAGTTGTTACCAAGCCATGAAAAGTCTTTCTATCGGTACACAACATTGACAGCCAAATTTGTATAGACCCAAACCGATCATCAGCGTTGATTGTTCACTCGAAATATGTTTGTGGAAGGAAACTGGCCTGTTGAAGTTTGCTCTGAGGCCAGAGTCAATCAAACTCGCAGGGCGAAGCAACACGTCAGAAACTCACCTGCTCGGTATGGCGCTTCTCCTCATCGCAGAGCCCTGAAATTTTGGCTCAGAGTATAACACATCGTAGTCTCACTGTAACATATGTTTTCTAATCAAAATACCAAGAGACAAAGTGAATATTGAGTCCGTTCCGGTTTGCAACCTTTGTCCTATTTGAAACCGTCGCCTCTACACACTAAGTGTTCTGCTTTGTGAATACTTCGAAATACTTCGAATGCATGTGCCTTTGTGGCATTTTTGGTCTTAGCGGCAAGCAGATTGTATGGTGTAACAGACAGTTTGTCCATACAATATCACTCTACTCTTTTCTTTCATGCTCAGGGTTACCGTCTGTTAGCAATTGCTTTGGCGAGCATCACTGCTTTCTCTGCCTCAGCACTGGCATCCTGCAGCACGTGTTCGTGCTATGGCACCAACGTGAATTGCTATTCGATCCCTGTGTCAAGTGTGACGGTATTTCCAACCAACACCACCAACTTGTAAGTTACGGCCAGCAATCAAGGACATCTGGGAGTTGTAATTTTTGTACTCTTCTGAGGTGAGATTTTTGGCAAGGGCCAAGCACAGGGAAAAAGCCTTCTGCCGAAAAAGCTGAAGAAGATGGTTATTTATAAGAAGAAAACAGGACCAAAGAGCTACAAGTTGCGCTATAATATCCACTAATACCACCCGTTACTTTACAACTAGCTCATGCGATAACATTGCACGACACTGACCGACGGTACTGACGTTGTACAACTAACTGGCTAACAGCTCTAGCACATCTTGGATGCGCACTCCAACAGCCTTCCAACTTGGAAGGTTCTAAGTTATGGAAATAGCATTTGGTCCTCATTTCTTCTTTATAAATACATCCTTGGCTCCCCACCCGAGTCTACTAAATGGTTATTGCTTGATCCTTTGATGTAATATTTGTAGCTAGTCAAAGTTAGTTGCTGTTTGGAGTAGACACACGGAAATCGACTATCTACTGCATGACTGTACTGATGTACTCGTGTACTCAGGCATGCAGGTTTACTCATATTTTAGCTGTTTCACCGGAACGGATGCTGCTCTGCGGCCCTAGGTAAACATTACCTGTGCTCATGGAGCAGCTGAAAAGGACCACTATGATGTCTTGTTCCCGGTTTGAAAGTGGATAGACGACTTTCGTGCCTTGAAAAAGTAGTAGACAGCGATAAAGGTATGTCTGAAGCTGTTTAGGAGTGGTCCTCACGTATTTTGATGGTAATAGACAATTATTTAATCATTCTACATCTACCTTCACTGATGAGCTATGTATTAGCGAAACAGCTGTCTGAAGGAATAAATGTTAGCAATATCGTCGACGGAAGTGTCCTCGCAGTGGTGATGGTTGTGTGCAGGATGGTCTAGTCGGCTGAGAGCGCAGTGTAGTGGTGGAGGTGATACCAACATTTGTCTTCAATGACCGAGAGCTCAGTCCCACCTTGTAATAATATGATATGTGTACCGCTAGAGTGCCATTCAGAGCACACGAGAAGTTCATCGAAACGGCAAGACAGCACTATTCCTAAAACTCAAGTTCGTCAGGCAAAATAGCACGTCATCGTACATTTGAAACCAGCGGGAAGAAGATGACGACGTCCACTAATTTAGTATCTGTGCCCACGAATGTGCTGTGTGTGTGACTTTGTGTGCCGGCTATGACATCAAACCTTGTGGTTCCATACCTAGCATGTAGGTCAGAACCATCCTGCAAAGTTTGAATGATGTAAGTAGAACGATCGTGCCGCCAACCATAAATTTTGAAATTCTGTTCGTAGTATACCTTCCACCAGTGAAATTTCGAATTTCATGCTGAGAGGGGTAGCTTGCAACCTCGATATGGCTTGTTCCAGGCATGCTGTGAATCGAGAACCTGTTGAAGTAGTGGCGGGGAGCTGCCCTGCAACTGCTACAAACAAAAAATGATTCGATCTGGGAAAGCGTGAGACCGCAAATCTCGGTTGAATTTTGAGTGTTTAAAGCCTTTTAGACGAAGGTGGAGTTCTGTTTGGAGATGGACGTCGCGGCAAAGGACATGGTTTCCGACTTCTGGCGTCTGGTGAAGCCAGGGAATATTTGTCCATTCAGGTAGGCAGCCTAACCATTGGTAAGCTCGTGTTTAGATCGCGTTCTGCTCGATGCGGTAGATCACAAACAATTTTTATATCGCACAAATTGAGCTCTGCATCGTGCGTACAGTATTTATATTCAGAAAATCGCAAAAAGTGTTTCTGACTCTCTGTGTGGCCGTCCTATGCCACAAGAAACTCCAATCAGGCTCCTATGTCCTCTGCCTTCTTGATTGAAGGTCCACTTCGTTTGAACAACGAACACAACAATCGAGGACGGCTTTGCAATGAAAATACAGCTATACTGGGGCTGAAAAAAAAGAAGAAAAACGTGCTCAGGATGAGACTCGAGTACACGCGTACTCTCCCAGCAGGTTCTGTGGATGTCGCTCATAGATGCGTAATTTCGCGTCACGTGTGTATGGATGTTTGCTCCTCTTTGAAGAATAGTAACAAACTTCTCATGGTTCAAGCTTTCCAAAAAGCAAAATAATAGTACCGAGGGGAAAACCAAAGTTGCAATCAACACGGGATGTGGTGCTTCTCAGACTGAGATCAAGTCGGTAAACTTCGTTTTCTTCTAAGCTGAGGCGACTGCCAGTCATTTGAAGGCAAAGAAAGCAAAAATTAATTACAAAGGAAAAGGGCTGTTCCGCTTGGATTTCAAGTGCACTGCCTAAATGGGGTACTTGATTAGAAACGAGAGAGCTTGGAAGCTGAGGGCCCTACGCTATGCTTTTTTGCCTTGATGACCTAGGCAACAAAAAAAAGCATAGGGATGTTATAAATTTTTCATTTCTCCTATTTTTTTCTAGGCATAACCTGGGATTCAAACCCGCACAATTGCCCTACCTGCATTGCCCGATACACTTCGCATACATACTCATTCTTCCAAGTTGCTTCACGTTTTGATCTTGCATTTGAAAGCCCTATTTGAATATTGTGGGCAGCTGTCTTTGATGGCACGGTACGGTACGGGACAGATACGGGATAGTGCCAGACGGAGGTCCGTCCGCCACAAACACCAAATTAAAGCTGTGTGGACCCTGGCTAGCGCCAGACGCTACTGAAGTAACGTCTTCTGCATAGCTACGGGAATAAACATTATTGACTTAACCCCTTTTTTCACAAATTGGATGGGTCAAAGTTTTTTCGAAATAGGATGATTGCTACGGCTGTAGACGGGAGAGGGACTACCTTCAGCCTCGCTCAATTTGCTTCTGTCTCGTTCTCTCCAAATTTGCCCTCCCCACCCTTCCCACCTATCCCACTGCTCTATTCCTCTCACTCTCTCTCTCTTTCGCTCTTTCTCTCCCTCTCTCTCTCTCTCTCTCTCTCTCTCTCTCTCTCTCTCTCTCTCTCTCTCTCTCGCTCTGTCTGTCTCTTTCTCTCCCTGTATGCGGGACTCCGTTTATTGAGGTGCGATGACATTTATTCTCTTTATCTTATTATTTCTTTTCTATCATTTCCCCCTGTGAGTTCCTATCAGTTGCTGTGAACACCTTGAGTGGAGAGCGTTTGCTCGAGCTTTGAACCCGGGTTCTTAATCCACCATTCCCAGTTCGCAAGGCTGGGCGGGGTTGTGAGCAGCCTTTCATTTTATCTTTCCTAATTATTTCATATTATTTATGCTTTTCATCTCATTACAAAAATTCTGCACTTTTTTCTCGATCTGCGCAAAAATCTAGACTGACAACCTGCTTGGTAAATCATGCACCTGCTTTCAGGCGTAAAAACCCTGTTGAAGAGGTCTCAGTCCTCATTTGTTAGACTTACCTGTCTTTATAAATGTAACTTACTCCCTCTCTCTCTTTCTCTCTCTCTCCCTCATTCTCTCTCTCTCTCCCTCCCTACCTCCCTCCTTCTCTCCCTCTCTTTCTTTCTCTCTCTCTCTCTCTCTCTCTCTCTCTCTCTCTCTCTCTCTCTCTCTCTTTCTTTCTCTTTCTCTCTCCCCCCCCCCACTCTCTATCTCTCCATTTCTCTCTTTCCCTACCTCTCTCTATGTAGCTGTAGCTGTCTCTGTCTTTGTCTCTTTCCCTTACCCTTACATTGACCCGCCGCTATTTTTCTGTGTTCAGCACTCTTTATAGAACCTCCGTATCAATTGTCCAAGATTACGGACGGTTTCCCAACCTTCATTACCTGTAAGACAATGTTAAAGTATAATGGTAATTGAATACAATAGTGCAGACATTTATAAAAGAGATAGATTCTAGCAATGTCCTTAGATCATTCTGCTACCGTTCGGTCCAATGCTTCGTCTGGATTCGTGACCAACATTTAGCAATGGGACATGCTGACGGATACATGCATCCAGGTGCTGAAGGATCTTGTACGACTTAGCAGTGAACGATTCCCGAACAATGTACAATCCAGTGATGCTACTTATCCTTCTGTTTTATTGGTTGGGGGTTGCTTGTAATTCATCTGAAGAGAATGCCTGAAAACTGGTTCATACATTTCGGAGTCCATATTGATGATGGTGGTGAAGGATAGCTTGAGATTTGTAGTTTTTCTTTCCCTGATAAGCTACCTGTCTCCAAAAATTTTATTTATTTGTGTGCCTCCAGCGATTTACGAAACAACCAGCTCACCTCAGTGGATGAAGACCAATTTGAAAACGCCACGAAACTCGAGGTTCTGTGAGTACAGGAATGGCCATCCGTTACCCTTTCACTGCGTAACTCTATGCATTCTCTGCTTGAAAAGGGACACTGCGCTCCGCCATAGCACACCGCTCTAAATTTGAGCATGTGACAAGTCTAACATATTCCATTCTACGTGATTCAAGATCACCAAAATACATTACCAATCAAGCATGGATATCCCATAGATTGTGAGAACTTTGGGTATCTTTATGCTAGCGATTTTTCTCTCAGTTCACTTCTCTAACTGAACTAGGGGTGAAATGAATATTTATTTATATTTTTTATATATCGAATGTTCGTTCGATAAGCTCAACGGACGAATATTCGTTAAGATTAACGAGTACGAATACTGCATGCATGCCAAACTCTCGCCATCGTCCTCTTCCTCATCAGCATCGCCAAATTCTTCGTTGCCACCTGGCGAATCGTGATCTTATCCGCTGCTGCCGATATCAGCGGCAGCGCCAGTAAATTCATCGTCGCCAGCAAGTACAGCAGGTAGTCCGTAGTGTCTCAGCCTCCGTGAACCAACGACGACTCTCCATGTTGAAGACAAAGCTTGATTTAATGAAGCTTAATGAAGGAGAACCAAACTCAAGCTAACTTCAAAGCACAGATTGAGTGCCTACAGCCATTAGTGAAAACAAGTGTTGCACGACGATGCAAGGGCCGATTTTTGATCTGTAAAAAGGACACGCCAGCTGAGCGTGATAGCTATCGCAGAAGATAAATGAAGTTCCACGGAATCGCCAGTTTATTAGTGTAAGCCCGCTTGAAATCTGCTTAAGTGGTTCCAAATCGTGACAATTTGATGTGCAGCTTCAAATGCATTTTTCAGTTTTTTCTAAAGCCTCGTTCACATTCGACGGAACTCTGACGGTACGGTACATAAAGACCTGTCGGGAAGGCTGGGGTGAGCTGTAAAATCTTGTACTATTCGTACGACACGACATGCCGCAGCCATTGCGTCATTCAACAGCGAACAGCGCGAGTCATAAGGCACGGTCCGTTACGGGGTGACTTTTGGATGACTTCTTTTCAACTATTTCTAATTGAATGAAGCGGGATCATGTTCACAATACAAGTTTTTCATGAAGACCGAAAAGTAGCTTCGAAAAGTGTGCCATTCAAATTGTAGCAGTGGTGAGGCTTCCTGCAGCTTCATTCATAGGAAAAAAAATGGTTTCAGAGCAGCCTCGCTCTCTTCCCATTGGGAAGTGCAGTGTTCGAAATGCTAAAGATTTCCAAGTACGAATCGGGTGTAGTCGGCGCATGATGCTGTCTCCTGTGTCACACTCAAAATGGAGCCGTTTCATACGCTTGGGTCCCCTTCGTTTTTTACAGGACGTAAGCCTCTTTTACGGGCGAAAAACAAGACGTAGATATGTAAAAGAAAACAGAAAAAGGGCCTTACCCTGTCTTGCCAGTTACGTGAACATACGGGGTTCAACTCTTCCCGTAGCTACCCGATCCTTACGGCAGAACGGTTGTCTTCACATTGGGCGCCATCAGACTGTCCCGTCGCTTCCCGTCGATCCTTACGTCTCGTCCCGTCGCGCCCCATCGATCGAATGTGAACTAGGCTTAAGTTTGGTATGCAGCAGGGAGTAGTACAATACGCACACTATCGTACTACTCCCTAGTGTGCAGCGAGCTACAATATAAGCACCCTTTTCGCGTGTGCTGGGCCACACAACTATTTTATGCGTGAATATATCTGCGGATTTCCAACCATACTGTCGTGTATTGGAAGACCCTGGAAATCCTGTCACGATTGTATTCTTTCCTACAGCATGAAACCGTCTTCAAATACATGAAACATGAACACATAGTGATACTACATGTCAGTCGTAAACGAACGAATATTCGCTCGATCGTTCGTTACCAGAAAGAATATTCGGATAGTCAATATTCGTACTCGTTTCACCACTAAACTGAACACAATGAATTTAAACTTCTCCTATTTAAATGGAGTATGCTCTTTTGTTTCTGTTTTCAGCGCCCTAGACGAAAACAGTTTCAAGTCGTTTCCACCCAAGCTTCTATACAAACTTGTGGACCTTCGTCTTTTGTGAGTAGAAGAGTGCACATGCTTCATAGTTCTCTATAGCGCATACATACATTCACATACACTCATGCACACCCGCACACATTCATGCATACATGCAGGCACACTCTCTCTCTCTCTCTCTTTCTCTCTCTCTCTCTCTCTCTCTTTCTCTCTCTCTCTCTCTCTCTCTCTCTCACACACACACACACACACACACACAAACTCACCTCGCAATATCCTATCCCGCAGCGTGATGCGGTGTGGAGCACGTAGCACTCACGCCAATGTCGGCTGACGCAGCTGGTGGCGCTGGTGCCATACTTGGCTGCGACAGAAGAGAGGCTCCAAACTCGTCTGTGATGGCAGAACGAATTTCAGCTGGAATAAGTTCGCGAATACCTTCAGAGCCAAGGTGACCGGGGGATCGGCGAGCACCTCGCACGTATCCACAGTTGGTCCAGCAGAGTCGTTTGCTGAAGGGTGAGGAGTTGGACCCAGTTTTTCTCGCTCAATGGCATCCAGCAATCTCTGAACCAGAATGGATTTCTTTCCGGTGGTCAGCAACCTCGATCGTCCAGCTCGGCTCGCAGTTCTGCCACCCGCATCCAATGCACAATAGATGACATTGTTTCAGGCACCAACAGTACGAGCTGAACACAATCGAATTGTCAACACAACCGAAATGGCTGGCTAATTAGTTATTCGAAGCTGCCACAAGCTAGAAGCCAAACTGAGGGAGCTGAGAACGCTGAAAATTTGATGCTGGCACAAGCTAAAAGTCACCACTAATTAGATTTTGAAGTGAAGCCAACAGCAAGAGAGAAAGAGAAAGTTCAAAGCAAGCAGTTGTGCAACGTCAGGCTAAGCGCGCCCAAATCCATGCGCTGGCAGTGTGAGTGCAGGGCGCAAAAGTTAAAAGGAAGCAATTGTGCGACGTCAGGCTAAACGCGTCCAAATCTATGCGCTGGCAGTGTGAGTGAAGTGCGCAAAGCACTGACGCAGCGGTTCGTGGCAGATGCAAACATGGCAGTGTGATTGGTGGATGCTAACACCCACTAACTACATTACTGTGACATATGTATCTAATATTGACTGAGTACGAGGTCAATATAGGAAATAAAAGCCGAGTAAAAGACCAAAGCGAAGCCAAGGTATTTTACGAGGTCTTTTATTTCCTATACTGACCAAGTACGAAGTCAATATTAGATTTATCACAACTAGCCAAGGCCTGTGTTCAATCGCTAAAAAGGAGTCAAATATAAGCGGTCAATATAGCCCTAAGGAGTGAAATATGCAGGAATATTTGACTGCTTAGGTATGGCAAAAATCTATGGGAGTCAATACTAAGGGAGTGATAAACCGGTGTATATGTATGGATTATCGCATGAGTACGAGGGGCATGCCGCCGAATATTTTCACGAGTGCGTTAGCATGAGGGAAAGTAGAAGGGACACGGTATACACAAAGTACGAATGGTATAATCCATTTATCCCATGTACTGTCCAAAATAGAGCGTGACCAGCACGTTAATATTATTGACCCCAGCGGGGAATATTGCAATACCCATGCGCTGGGGTCAAATATTTAACCCCAGCGCGGGGTATCGCTCTACAGTAAAACCTGTAACTAAAGACCACCGTGACCAGCGACCAGCCTAGTACTATCGACCACTTCGCCAGGCACGGACGGTCTCATATTCAAAATGCACTGTGACTAGCGACTACCTGCTGAACGCGACCACCGACCGCCATTTCTTGCCCCAAAGATGATTATTGACCCGTAACTAGCGACCGCGATGTACAAATTCAAATGTTGCTCGAAGCCCCTTCTGGAAAATTTGCTGATTTTCCATGGTCCTGAAAGGACTCTTTTGACACTACAGCTGAACAAATGAACACAGGTCATTTTGACTGTGGAATCGGTGTGGACTGCACTACACCTGTCCAAATTTCAAGCTCTGTCAAGAATAAACACGATAGGAAAAGTCTTGGAGAGCGCATCGAAAGCGCTCTCTGATCGATGTTACTACTCGGAGGAGAAATGAAGATAGAGCGGCTCTGACACCCCCGCCATACAGACGAATCGACGATGGCATCATGGAATCCAGAAACAAAGCAGCACCGCAAGGTCCTGATGCTGAAGGATCGCGTTCAAGCAATCGAGAAGGTAAAACAAGGACAGTCGGTACGATTGATCACATGAACAAATTTGAAACCCAACGTAAAACGAAACTCCTACGGGGAACGTTTGACTCCTGGTTTCAGAAGTAGCAGCTGAATTTAATGTCTGCAAAAAATAGTCTTCTCCCTCTGTCTCTCTCCGTCTCTGGTCTCTCTCTCTCTCCAAGGGTTGTTTGACCTGAAAAAAAGAATGGCATTGAGCAAGTCCTGGGGAATCGTATTAGCTGCATGTTGACATACATATCATATTATAGCAATAAAAACTGCTTTATGGCAGTTTTCTAAAAAAAGTTATTGTGTTCTAGTCCATGGACCCCGTCTAAAAAGTAAGAAATTAACGAAATGTGATAGCTGAAAATTAAAATTTCACACAAAACCTCACAATAATCACAACACTTGAAATGCTGCGTTCAACCAGGGAGTAGTACAATACTACTCCCTGCTTTCAACACTAAACTTGTACTGCACCAACAATTGGCAACATGCATGCATAGGAAAGAGGATCGCGAGGGGAAAAGGTCTTCTGCATGTAGCTTTTCATTCTGTGTGTGATTATTGTGAGGTTTTGTGTGAAATTTTAATTTTCAGCTATCACATTTCGTTAATTTCTTACTTTTTAGACGGGGTCCATGGACTAGAACACAATAACTTTTTTTAGAAAACTGCCATAAAGCAGTTTTTATTGCTATAATTTCTTTTGTTTTTTCTGTCACCAATCAATGGAATGCCCTATATCAATATGTAAATGATGGCCTTCACATCATATCAATACCATATTATACGCATTGATGTGCAAGCCTTTTCTTGCAGAAAATGGCACTAGCATAATGCATGTTCTTCTGCGGGGAAACATGTGAGCAGTGGTGGTGATACTTTTTTTATACGGAGGTCATTCTGTGCATGTTGCTGTTGCAGAATTTCATGACTCATAAAACTGTCTTGCCTTTCAGATATTACAGATTACTTCACCCTCAATCAGATTTATTTGAGAAATGTAGCCATGCGGCAGGTGCGTGTCGCAGATGTTTTTGTTGATTCTGTGTTTATAATGGTTTATAGTCATGGGTTATCGTGATAAGGTCATCCAGCATCATATTGAAACTGAAATCGTAATCCTGTTGATGTCGATACAACTTTTGGAAGTAGTTCAATGACTTCAAACTGTTAGTCCACGATTGTCTAAAACAACACAGCAAAGGAGGAACAATAAACATGTATTAAAATGTAAACGAATACATTGCTGAGTCCAAAACCTCGTTCCAACAACTACACTGATCCTGAGGAGAAAAGGGGCAAGGCTATGGTTGGAGGTGCTGAGAGATAAACAAGGCACTTCACAATAATAAAATCTTACACATCTTTTGGTGAGTATGAATGATATCCAGTCGAACCTCTTTAGGACGAACACCAAGGGACCGATGGTATTTATTCTGTGAGCTTAACCTATTTTATAACCAGAGAATACAATTATATCTCCAATAGACATACGAAAAGATTTCTTCTACAGCGAAAGATTCTAAGCCACACCGACTCATTGACTCGTCTCGTATGAAACAATTGAGTCACTAGAGAGATTCTGCAAAACGAAAATGCGTACAAACTTTCGCTCTACATCATGAAGTGCGAAACTTCGCACCTTTGGACGCGAAACTTGCAGGGAACGCGAAATGAACTGTCGTAGGAAAATTCGTGAGATCGGGTCATGGCGTAAGTGCACTTGGCCCGCGCAAACTACGAAAATGTGCAGAACGCAAAGTTCGTGCAAAAATTCGCACACACTTTCGCAAGGACTGTCGTTCGACTGTTCGAATTTTCGTTTTGCAGAACCTCTGTACTGAACATTTCTTTAGCAACATGACGGCAACTGAAACAGCGACAGAGAAAGTACGATACATGTACTCCACATTCTTACAGGTACTACAAACAGATTGCAGATCGTAATTCTTGCTTTGGCGGCACGAAACTTTATTTGACGCAGTGCAATCTCGGCGGTACTCACAAATCGAACAGCCCAGACTTGAGATAACAAATCTAATCATACAAGTACGAGATTTTCACGAGACGAGACTGCACCCATTGGCTTGTTTCGTATGAAACAAACAAGTTATTGAACCTCTCCACAATAGAGATTTCCCCTGATATGCGAATATATTTTGCAAACTCGGTCAATTGGTACTTCAACCTTTCCCTCCAGATTGGGAACTGCCAACGATAGTATGCCACTGACCAGTGCCTTACTTGTAACGTACCAATGTACAATGAATATGAGTATTTCGACAACACATCTAACATAAGCCTTACCGTCAAGAAGTTGAACTCGCGTTCTTCGCACACTGTAGACAAGGGCAAAGAGATAAAAATGGATCTAAATCCGAATAAAATCAGCACACGTTTCCGTAAATGAAAGGTGAACATAAGCAAATGAATCGAAGGAAACCGGTCAACTTAGAGATCACCTATCATCGACTATTCCGTAAATGGGGGCCTCGCAGCTCGGCAGCAGAAAAGCAAAATTTAGAAAAGAGATCCTGTCAACTTTTCCATTATTTATTGCATTCCACCCCAAAATCAGCACACTTTTCCTGAATGAAAGAGTCAACACAAGCAAATGAATCAAAGGCAACTGGTCAACTCACCTGTCATTGAGTAATATTCCGCGAAAGGAGGTCTCAGCAGCGCCGAAACGAAATAAGCCAGGCCATGAGACGAAATATCCGAAACAGCTCATGCAAGAAGCAGTTCCAAAGAAGGAAGTTCCTCGCGCATGCACATCCGAACACGGATCCGCGGACTGCATGCACTGAACACAATGTCTGCCGTGCACGTGCACAGCACACGGCTACCACGCGTTGGTAGATCTAATACCGAGCACCTTACGTAGAGACTTACGTAGCCTAAGTGAAATACCGAGCACCTTACGTAGAAACTTACGTAGCATAGCGATGTCGTTTTTTCTGCCATGTGAACACAATAATAGAAAAGCTGACAGGATCGCTTTTCTAAATACGGGATCCATATAATGGTCGTGCAGTGCAAACCTGTAACTAAAGACCACCTGCCACTAAAGACCGCTTTTGCTGGCACCAAGGGGTGGTCTTTAGTTACAGGTTTTACTGTATATTTCTCCGTCAACAAGGCTGCTGATTGGCTGAAACAGGTATTCCGTACCGTACCATGGGATAAATCTCGATGTACACTCGGTCCCTTGTTATAATCTATACATTATACACGATGCACTCCAACCCTGCAACCATACAATACAGGTACATGCATAATAAAAAATAAAATGAAAACCTGCCGTCCGCCCCGATTTCTCGGGAAAAGCGGAAGATAAACAATATTATTTACATGGCCATAATAATAATATTCTCTGTTGTTAGTACAGGAACATAAAGACAATTTTCCCCGCAAGCATTTCCTGTATGTCGACATGCATGAGAATATGTGAAACGATGCTTGTAGGGCAATGTGTGGATATGCGTGCAATGGAAAATTTTCCAATTCTGGCATTTCAAACACTATGCTCTACACTACATTGTTCCAAATAATGGATGCAGCTCCTAAAGGGGTGGGAAGTGCGTAGATCATCTTGACTCTTCTAAGTACTGGAAGATTCCATGGCTCACATCAAAATGTCATTATCTTCAAAAATTATTTCACCGTACGAATTTTCATATACACATAATTATAGTGTAATGTCTGGCCAATGCTGTTATTTCCACTTCATATGTGTACAGTGGATGTATGACGAACCAGTTGACTTACTTGCCAAACAACTTCTTCCTTAAAAATCGCAAACTGAACGAAATGTAAGTTTAGGCCACCGCAATGTGCATTGCAATTTTCATAATTTTACTCAGGGATGCCTAACAGAATCGTTTTACTCCTTGTGTGTACTTGATACTCCGATAGTGTGGATACATCCATGCCAGTGCACATTGCACGTTTTCAAAGTGCAACCTGATGTAACTCGGCTGTCCCTTGGCCAAATCGGATGATCTTAAGCTCTACCGTAAAGTATCGCGAGAGCGCCCCACCATCTCGTCATTTTGTGGTTGCGTTGTGGAGGTGGTGTCCTGTCTGTAGGTCATATGACGCGGACCTTGTACACACCTTGCAGGTTATCCAGTCAATCCAGACGCAGTTTGCCCTGGAGCGGACGCGAGCTCAACACAAATACATGCCAAATGTGACCCTAGTACACTAAAGCCTAGTTCACATTCGACGGGGCGTGACGGGACGCGACGTAAGGATCGACGGGAAGCAACGGGACGGTCTGACAGCGTCCAATGTGAACACCAGGGACGGGAACGCAACCGTACTACCGTACAGATCGGGAAGCGACGGGAAGAGTTGGATCGATCCAACTTTTCATACCGTAGACGGTCGTAGACGGGGACGCAAGCGTACAAAACGGCTGCAATTCGAGTGTGAACAGGAGACGGCGTCGTGCGCCGACCACTCCCGATTCGTACTTGGAAATTTTTAGCATTTCGAACACTGCGCTTCCCATGATAACTCACAGAATGGCTGGCACGACTCGAGTTTAATTTTTGCAACATAAGATCTCATGTCACTTATTGTATTTAGGGATAGTTCAGAAGCGTGACATACGAACTATTCTATCATTTCCGCAACGACTGCTGCATGTCGTGTCGTATGAATCGTACAGGATTTTACAGCTCACCCCAGCCCTCCCGACAAGCCCTTACGTCCCGTACCGTCGGCGTTGCGTCGAATGTGAACTAGGCTTAAGTTTCTTACAACGCACAAACTTTGTTGCACTCTGCCATACAATGTTCCTTCCCTTGGCTGTAAAATCAAGGTGGGGCGCTCTTGCGGTACTTTTTGGTAGGAATTTCTATTTTTTTTTTACTAGGGGAGTCCCAGCAGGCTACTGCCTTTTTACCGGGAACCCTAGGTAAATTCTAACCATGTTTATGAACAGAGCAAGAGACTGGGCCTGTCGACAGTCAGCTGAGGGAGAATTCCATCTGCCTGCCGCCAGAAAATAAATAGAACGCAAGCCATGCTGCGTACCAACAAGTGGGAGAAAAAGCCTCTTCGCGCCTTGCCTGGTGACTAGGTGCAATTGCCCGAAGCCATTACAAAGACTGAAGGAGAGGACTAGCAAGATGCTGGGCCATGCAGCGGTTCACAAAAACATGCAGCTTGAGGCGAGTATGCTGCTCCAAAGAATACAGGCGATATAAGCGAAGAACTAACTCAGGAGGCATGGTACGATGGAGTCAAAACCCGCTTATTCACTCACAAAGCAATTGTTCAGTACATGGGGTAGTGGTCTACCGGAGCAATCACACTCACGACCGTAGTAGTTTTCCAGAAATGAGTAGAAGCAAAAACCACACTCGCAGCCACATATTAGATAAATAGCCGAAAAACATTTAAATCAGTCTAAGAACCGCCAGCAAGCGGGAGGGAGAAAAGGTCGCAAAATCCAGTGAAACAGCATGGCCAATGGTGAACATGGGTGACCGGGCAGCAGGGGAGCGCCTGAAAACAAAGACTCCCTACATTCCTCGCCGCGACCGCTCAACCGGAAAAACACGACTTTCGGCCAAAAAACCTTTCTATTTCATTAAGTCCTGCCCCGCTCCCAGTCGGACCCAAGAATAGAGACAACAAGAAATTGTATGTAATGAACCGGTGTATGTCGTAATCATAAGCCACACACACCGGCATAGAATATCAAGAAGAACAGCGGAAGAACCCCATGAAACCAGGGTGGGTGGGCGGGCAACTACAACTATCACGAGGAAAAATAAAGACCATGATAGCAGGTTTAACGGAGTTGCGCAGAGCAAGAGCAAATGCGCAAAAATACTTGTGAGTGAAAGTACGTTTTTGCACTCCTTCCCTACGCTCAGCCGTGAAAAAAACTTTTTGTCCTGGCTGATGTGTGCTCGCCCGGTTGCCGCCTGACCCAATCTGGCCAACAGCTGATCATCCCATGGCCATTCTGGCCAGGTCTCCATGATGTCCATAGTAACTCTACACTTGAGCACAGATGGTGGTCACAGTGCCCCAGACTTTGGCACACTGGTGCCATGCGTACAGTACACTCATTCACTGCCCAACCCTGGTCAACATCGCACGCCCCCCTCCTGCAGTTGCTGTCACATAAGTTGCCCGCTGCTGCAATAGCCCATGGCTATTGTCATACCTGTTTGCACCCATACAATCCCTGGCTGCAGTTTTGAACTGTTTCCATTGCCCATGTACTCCTTATTCTTTGCTTCCTTTTATGCTGAGAGAACATATGCTGGATCCCTGTACTGCTTAGCCGCGTACTCATTCCGTAGAAATGTGTGAATAACATTACTAATAATCTGAAGTGAGGGGGGCGGATGGGCACCACAGGAACACAAGTTTGAAGTCAGCAAGCAGTCAACATTTGCGTCAATTTATTCCGGAACCCTGTCTGGTAGGCCCCACCCGTGGAAAAACGTCTGTCTCACCCTGCCGGCCGGCCCTGCCAATTGTCCCACCTTGTGTGTCCGGTAGCTGCAGACATCCAAATCGGATACTCCCCGATTATACCTGGCCAAAACTTCACTGTCACTTTTGCACGATTTTTGACTTGGACAACATTAATTTTGCTGTCATGCAATTGTCGCCCGATTTTTGCACTCAGACTGACAAACTAACTGATCTTGATGTTCATGGTTGCCTCCACCAACACGATACAGTCATATACATGGCTTTGCAAGTCCATAACATTCGTGTGGTCCTGTGACATTGATCATGCACCCTTTGTAGGGCCTATGGCAGTAGGGGCCAAGCATTTGTTTGCTCCCGTGAATACAAAGGGATGTACACCCTTTCAATCATGTCAACTTCTTTGTAAAATCTCGAAAACACCCACAATCTCAAGTACTGATACTTACCCGTTTTCTCTCCGGTCCATATGCGGTCCGAAACCTGGATGGCTGTCCCAGTGAACTCCAGCTGGTGTTGTCAACAGACCGCTAAGACCTTGCTGCCCTTCGCCGCGATATCAGACAACTACTTCAGTATGACTGCGGTGTCACCACTGCCGGAACTTTCAGCGTGTCTCTGCCAGGAGCTTCGCCACCATTTGGGATACAATGTTATGATCGACAGCGCTCTTCACTGACTGCGTAGCCTCTCGATCTCATCACTGCGCCCATGGAAAAAACTTTCAAGGACTCGTTGAAGCCTTTGAAGAGTATGGTTGCGGTACATGTAGGTGTCGATTCGACATGCCGGAGCTGAGTGACCAATTTTTTTTTTGTCAACTAAATTGTACTTCCACAATATTTGCTGGTCGTCCGAAACGAAATGATTTGTGTAGCTGTCGACGGTGACTCTGCTCCGCCTTGTACGACAATGCTTGCTGGCATGCGGCGGGTTACGCTCAGCTCGTTTTAGCTGTTTCCGCCTTTCACAAATCGATCAGCAGCTCCCAAAAACTTCAGGTGCATCAGTGTGCAGGCCCAATCAGGCGATGTGGACCTTTGGTAGGCTGGACCGAATCATGATCGACGGCGCACAGCACTGTCGTTTCTTTCTCTACTACTACTGAGTGCTAGTAAATCTCGTGACTATGAAAAGATAAATAAGATGATTTGTGGTGTTGTGTGGCTGCGAGTGGAAACAAAAGGCTGGAGCACTTGCAAACTGCAGCTACCAAGAGGATAAACAAAGCCCACGGTGGCAGGTTCAATGGAGTTGCGCAGAACAAGAGCAAACGCACGAAAATATTTGTGAGTGGAAAGTACATTTTTGCACTCTTTCTCTACGCTCAGTCGTGAAGAAAGAAAACTTTCCTTGCTATGTTACTACCGGTCACAATCCTGTTGTACGATGTAGGCGGGCGCGTAGCATTGCCGTTGGAGGTGGTCCGGCCAGAGGGGGCGGGGAAGGGATGTGTCCCCAGGGAAATTTTTCGAAACGAGGGTGCAAAATCCGGCATTCTGGCATTCTGGCTGAACTCATCCTCCTGAACGGCATTGAAGCGCTGGAAGGCAGTATCAACATCGGGTGATCCACCACTGCGCAGAAAGGACCAGTCACAACTTGAGAGAGCGGAATTCAGGTAGTCTCAACAATGGGCTGGGATGCGCTGAAGACAGTGAGGAAACCACTTTCCATGAGTCTGTGCCACTGGGTCTTAGTGTAATAGCTGGCCCCGGAGGCAATCACACTCACCAACTCAAACACTCACTTCGTAGTTTACCAATCATTATCAGGAAAGAAATATTATACACACTTGGAATGCCAAAGAGTAGAAAGGCAACAAGAAAGAAGAAAGAGAGGGAACAAAAGTCCGGCATTTGAGATCAGGACGTCAACAAACATGTCGCAGAAGTGAGCGATGTCAGCGTTTCTCACTGAAGGGGGTCGGTAGGTGCAGCACACAATAGTAGATGAAGCCAAGACAGAGTGAGGCTTCGGCGCAACCCACACAGCTTCACAGCTGAGGCGCTGAAGATCAAAGCGAAGGCGGACATCGTTGAAACGATTGCCTCGCACAAGAATCACAACACCACCAGTTGCAGTACCTGATTTACTTTCATGTGGCGGTCGATCACGGCGGAATGTCGTGTATCCTGCCCCAGTGAGGTCAATGTTTGGGTTAATCCAGGTTTCAGACAAGCAAATTATGTCTAGTTTGCGGAGGCTTGCAACCACGGACAGCTCTACCGATTTATTCACTACAGAGCAACAGTTTACAGAGTAGATTACAAGACATGTTGTTACAGGTTGGCTGGGCGGTTCATTGTGAATTGTAGGTTGGGTGGGCGTGAACGGTAGAGCTAGGGGGTGAAGGTTTCATGGTTGACTACACATGGCCTGGGAAGGAGATGCCTGGTTTCGACTTCCTTGGGGACGTGCCACTTGCGACGATGCTGTCAGATTTGAATCGCCATTTCCTGACGGTGTGCGGGATAGTCGGCGAACAGAATGAGTTCTCGAATTCATTGTTTTCATCATCAGCAGCAGCCACTGTTACTCGAGCATAGCATGTCCCGAGGTATGCATTATTGGAGACTGAGCAGTTCAGAGGTAGGCATCGAATTCCAAGCAGGGTCCTCAAAGCCAATGCTGAGCACCTTGTTGTGCCATTATGTTTGCTCTTCCACCAGTTCATGACGTCGGGGACATAACCAGAGGCAGACATCTTGGTGTTAGCGTTGCAACCTGGTATCGAAAAAGGGGGCGGGTGGGTGCTGGGTGAAGTAGCAAAGACACGAAGTTGGAAAAAATATCGAGAAAGGGGCGTTAATATTACAAAAATATATAATCAGGATTCAAACAAGTTTTCGTACAACACTCATCAGGATTCGCCGTTGTACTGAAGGACACTGAAACAAAATTGAACTATTATAGAATATCTAAGTTAGAGAAATAACACTAAGAACAACAGCAGTGAAATTTACAAGTGTGAATTTTAACAATGAAAGCAAGAGCAACAACGAATGTGTGTGCATGGAGGAATGCCTGGTTGAGTGGATCACTTCCCAGCGTGAAGAGGGAATTGGTGTTCATGGAAAAGCAATAACATCGAAGGCCAAAGAGCTGCTGAGAGACCTGCACGATGGTCAAACAGGAGTTTTCAATGAGTCTAAAGGTTGGCTCTCGCGGTACCTGCGGCGAATTATTTGTGCTCAAGACCAGTAACTACTGTTGGCCAACAGATTCCAGACAATGCACGGAACATTGCCAAACAATTTCTGGAAAACGTGCGCGAGACGATCCTGAAGGATGATAATGGAGCCAGTTGATGTTGGAAACATGGAAGAGTCTCCATTTTGGTTTGACTTGCCTAGCAATGAAACCTACGATTTGCAGGGTGTCAAAACAGTTCGCATGCGTACTACCGGCTATGAGAAGCTTCGGTTTTCTGTGGTACTTACCGCTTTGGCCAATGGGACCAAATTGATCCTGACGATGTGACCGTGGGGATGGGTACATGCAGATAGAATCACCGCTACGGTAGGTTCACTGAAAGAATTGAACTAAACGCCAGATGCAACTTCCTCCACATTGAATTTTGTTCACTTATAACGCCATGGCTTTATAGGTGAGGGTGGTCTTATATTCGGATATAACGCCATGGCTTTATATGCGCAGAAATACGATATATTCGTTTAAGTTTCTTGAAGAAGACAGTTGTTTCTCCCCATTCCCTTGAGAGGGACACCAGCACAAGCTGAGATACTCTACCCAGCACGATGATTTATGTGGATGATGGCTGCTCCAAGTGTAGCAGGAGGCTTGAATAAACTTGTTTCATTTGACACCTGTTGACAGATGGATTGGAAACAATAAAATTAGTACTTTGCCTTATGATCTCTTCACGGGCTTGGTCATCAACAAATTGTAAGTATTATGTAATAATGTATGCACTCATGTCTCAAATATTTATTCGGACACTTCCTACTTGATCCGTTTCATCGCAATTGTCGCTTATCTGCCACACACTTTTTGACCGCTAAAATCCAGTCCGGTTGGGATATCTAAATAGCTTTCTTTTTAGGAGGTTGTGATGGCAAGACCAAAGGAGACCAAAAAGAAGAAAAAACATCATGACTAGCGTCAATGGCATCGCGATTCATACGACTTGGATGGGACAGTGGGGCACTTCTCGCTGCAAAAGGCCAAGCGCAGCTCAAAGACCGGAACTGTAGCAGGGGAAATCGACATCCTAACCTGGAGAGCGTGACAGATATGTCAGAGTTGTGCTGAAGAAGAACGGTGGTTGCGATACGATGTGTGAGAAGTTTTGGTTGTTGTGTCGTGGCGCTGGCACTCCTGAAGAGAAGTTTTGGTTGTTCCGTCATGGCGCTGGCACTCCTGAAACTGGGAATCCCTTGTTCTACTTACCAGCACGATGGTACAAGGCCCCAAACCACCAAGGCAAACCGGCAGCATTGGGTACAACACAGGGTCAAGAAGGGATTTGGCATTCGAGTGGTTACCATGCCAGCCAGCTCAGTCGCCACATTTTAGCTGCAACGACCTGGCATTCTTTTCAAGCCTGCAAACTGATGGCGAGATCGTTGCAAAGAAGACATTGTCCTACCTGGCAGCGACAGTACAAGAGCCGTGGTCAACGTATCCAGCGGAGCGTATGACAGCTGTCTGGAGAGAGGGATGTGTGCCTCATTCAAAGACATTATTGAAACACACCGTGGTGACTGTTGTGTAACGCACGCACAACAATTATTCACCACTACTACTACTCCGCACATGCACACAGCACTCACAACGGCGGACTCTGACAGTAGTGTGAATAAAAGGACAGATACTTGGAAATGAATTAGTTAGGTAAGGATATAGAAAACAACAACTCAATCTTGGGAGAGCTAATCAACAAGGAGAAATAAAACCGGAACTCCACGGAACCGGCGGGGCGGGGCAAGGCGACGTGGAGAAGCCCGGCTGACATGTGCGAGTACGCACGCGGCGCGGTCAATGGGGCTTTGGCCAGCAAGCGTGGGGACGCTAACCTTTGCAGCAAGCGCAGCATGCAAATAAGGCAGAAGGCAAAAGCAATGCACATGCTCGCAATAATGACGCGTAGCTGATAGGGCATGACGTCAACACAACTCGTGAAAATGCCTACGCAAAAATGCGTTCGAAAAGTAACCGTGAGCTACGATGCAGGAAACGATCTCTGCGATCTGGCAGACGATGAAACAATTTGAAACTAGACAAATTGACAGTCAGTGTGAGTCAGAGAAGAAAGGAAACATGATAATAGCAAGAGAAGAAAGGAACAGAGCAGCCGCGGAGAATGCAGAGTACGGATAGAAGAACAGAACGGTAAACAAAGTCTCAAAGGAAGAACACGACGTACAAATTCAAAATCTATAACTTGAAGCAATAAATAAACGTGCAGTATGGTATCAAATACTTGTGGAGAGAGAGGCGAACTATTCTACTTCATGACACATGGATCAGGCTGCCCCCTGGGCCCACACGTTCCTCGAATTGCCGATGTGGCAGCCACAACTGTTCCTTTCCCATCACTGCCATATGGCAGGTGGAGAAAGCAAGAGATATTTTACGCCAGCAGCTATACACGCCAGCAAATATCAGCACAAGTGACAGTGGTTGCTCCTTCAGACAGCAGCTGTTTCGATCATCAGGATCTCGTCAGTGAAGGTTGTAATTATAGAATCGCTAACAGATAGCGGGCAGGCACAGTGGGTTGGTCAAAGACCATGATTGAGATACGAGAGGTACCTGGTTCAAGTCCTGCCTGAGAGCGGTTTTTCCAGCCATGCTGCTACCCACAGTCAACTGGGAACTTGTGGCCAGGCACAAGGGGTACATGGATGCAGCTAATGGGGTCGTTCTTGGCACTTGTGCCAGTGGTTGTGAGACTTATCCACTCACCCCCACCATTAGGCGCTACATCTGCCGCTAGGGTTTATCGGGTGTTAGTGGCCGTCGTCAGTTTCCAAGGGAACGGACACGATAATTTACTCTTTTTCTTAAACTTAACAGATAGCGAACTTCACCATTTCGTTGCAGAAAAAGGAATCATAATGGGGCATCTTAGACGCGATAATTAGGGCTAAGCAAAAACAGATAATGTTACAGAAATACATAGTAGTGATAGCCAGTTGTGACTTTTATTTTGTGAGCCTGTTTTGTTACTTCATTTCTAAGCTACAGCATCATGGAAACTAAAGAATGGCTGTAATGTGACAACGGTGAAGTGCTGTGCTGTGTGGTGAGTGAGTGGACGAAGTGCTTTCCCCAGGAGCCTTTCGCGTTGCTACTTGCTACGCTGTGCCGCCTATCACCTGGCTATCACTACATGTACTCTCACTAACACACTTTCTTATATTATCCTCAGTGTAGTCTATACCAGTATCTTTTCTTTTTTGACTTGTCAGGAGTAACAGTTACAATACTTGCTATCACTGACTATGGCTCGTGAGCTGTTCGTGCTGTCATCTGCAAGCATTGTGTGGTCTCATCAAGTCAAATGAAAACCTGTTACGAGGACTAAATTTTGTCAATCCTTTTTTTTCGTGTGTTTTGTTCGTGGAATGGGGAATGGAAGTGTTCACAAGTACAAGGATGTGGAGACGAAAATATGTCTCTACACAATGATAACAGGAAGCGTACAACAAAAAAAGCTCACCAGGAGTAAGAAGCAAGTTTTGAAGCTCTGAGTGTCGTGACTGCGTCCCCACCCTCGAAGCATTGTATGCATTGCTATTCTGACTAGTATTCACCTGCCGATCATGGATTACTCCCCACCACCAGGCCACTCAAAGCCTGAGCCTCCAGAGCCACTGTCAAGGTCGATGTCGCCGGCTGAATTGAAGGCTAATACTGTCATATTTGTCGACGGCCTCGCAGGCCAGAACATCGTGGAAATTGTGGACACCCTCATCGACCAGGGTTATGCTGACATCGCCTCCGTGCAAATTACCGGATCAGCCTGCAAGGTAACATTCTGTAGCGAGTCCACTACGAAGTCCATTCCAGAACACGGTTTCTTTCTTGGCGAAAAACATATTGCTGTCCGCCATTCTTTCTCACTGCAACTACCCATCTTTGACATCCCGATTTGGATCTCCGATGCCGCCATAATCCATGCACTCGCGAAATACGGTACGGTATGAGGCACCATTCGCCACGGCCGTACCCGCACAAAGTCGGGCGCACTTGTCGGAACAGGCGTACGCTTCGCAACTGTTCGCCTGAACAACGGCTGTAGGCAGGTGCCATCATTCGTGCGGACAGCCGAAGGCAACACCTTCCGCTTGAAGCACGAGGGCCAGGCGCCAACTTGCCGCCTTTGCAACTCAGAAAATCTCCTTCCCGGCTCCTGCTCAAAATCGAACAAGCTCCAAAACACACGGACCCACACATCAACCAACGCACAGACCCAAAACGACGACCCAGCACCGGATCCGACAGCCTCCACAGGCCAGTCCAGCTTACCATACGCACAGGCAGCGACCCCGGTGACCTCTGCCAGCTCACTCGTACAGGAAGTCACTGAACACAGCCAGCCCAGCAAAAGTGGCCATGCAGACCAGCACGGGCACACTGCCAGTGCCACTGATGAGCATCAAACTACTCGCAGGACTAGTGCAGATGTTGATCGAGCCGACGAGAGCGCAGTTCGCGCACTATCACCTAGTGCAAGCATGCACTGCCACTCGCCAGGCTCACCAACGGCGCGCTGCTCGCCTCTGTTTGCATCTCCTCCCTCTTTGAACACAGAACCCACTCCATGCTGCTGCACCGGCTCAAATGGCCATCACTCAGCAGCCGCCGTACCCTCTTCCATATTCTTCTTGTACATAGCCTGCACCATAGATATGCACCACCACAACTTCTTGCAATTCGCCTACCCCGAATACAACCCATTCGCACGCTCAGGTTCCCCCGAACCTTTGAGCTACCCGCAACACGCACAAACCGGCTAAGAGACTCCCCCATCTATGCTTCTCTTGATCTCTTTAATAGCATCCCACTCAGCCTCCGGTAAATCAACCCCATACGAGATTTCAAAGCAAACATCCTACCACTTGTCATTTCTTCCGTATGTACCTGCTCACATTGCTCAGCACATCTATACCCCCATTGTGCCCAGCATATGTGATAAAACTCCCTATTGCCATCGCTACTATTATTTTCAGCAAGCAGCTAACCTTTGATTTCTCTTTATCCGATCCCCGTGCCTGTAATTGTTTTTCTCTTATTGGCCACAGGCCATTGTGGGAATAAAAGATTTCAAACAAGCATTGTCGTTCAACACCACACCTTTCTCTGACGCTGTCTCAATGATTCGAAAACCTGTCAGAAGGAATGCTTTTTAATCCACTCCCATCAACCACCACTACCAATTAAGCATAACATCTAGTATCTAAGATGTGTATATAATGGACTACTTTAAAACTGGTGACAGTCAATTTTTTCTTCAGACCTTTCCCGTTTGTCTCTTTCCCTCAAACCAGTTAATACTTTAAAACTCTTCTTTCTTTCTTCCTTTCTTTCTGTAGCAATGTAATGGACCCACATCAAGCCTACATTGATGATTTATCACTCTGCCCAATCTCTCAAGTAGCATCAAGAGGTCTCTCTTTTTTCGACCAAAAGGGCTTGAGGAATGAATCAGTGGAGTTCAGTAAGTGGAACTGACTGGGAAACACCTACAATTAAAAATATCTCCAAGAGAAGATCATTTTGTACTCCTAAAACTACAAGTCAGGCCGTCATTAACTTCTCAGTACATAGGGTTGTGAGCTTGTTTTCGAATTGCGAAGCATGTCCTAGAATCAAAATCTCCCTTGTAGTGGGGCACTGAGTCGAATGGTATTAGTACCAGGAAACTAAGAAACTCACTTTGTCTTCAGTTCACAATCAAACTCTCACCCCTCGCTGAACTTGGATTTGTGTGCCCTATTAGATGGGGATTTTGTGCGAAAAATTCATTCAACGCTCCCTTCAGTTCCCATAGAAGCCTGCATGAAGATAACGCTTTCAGAACCTCTAGTTTTCTACATGCGGAAGTGAAAGGTCTTGTTCAAAGAAGTCTGCGATACAGTGTTCGGTTCTAATTTCCAATCGAGTACAGCCACATAGTGATGCATACTGGATTCATCTCACTTGTGAATACATGTACTTGCACTAATGCAAATGATACAGCATGACACACATATGCTCAGTCCTACGGTGCCCACAAAGTAAAAAAGCCCATGCATTGCGCACTGTTCACCTTGCACTGTGGCTGGACCATGGCAGACCAGCTACCAGGGTAGAGTCGACGGTTCGATACCGGAACGGCTTGACAGCCAAATTTGTATAGACCCAAACCGATCATCAGCATTGATTGTTCACTCGAATTATGTTTGTGGAAGGAAAATGGCATGTTGAAGTTTGCTCTGAGGCCAGAGTCAATCGAACTGAGCCACTCCTTTGGGTTGACCCATTGCCTCCAATTTGCCCAATTTTTCGCTTCAAATCAGAGGTGGCTCCAAACCAGACAGGTTTTAGAGTGCACGTCAAATTCACTCTGGGTCTGAAATTAGGTAATTGCTATCGCTCCACGACGGCCAGCACAGAGTAACAATAAGCCTTGTGTGTGCTTCCATTAGTTTTGATTGGTATGCGGTGCTTTATTAGCGAGAGGCGAGCCGCAGTTTACCTGCGACGAGAAGTTGATTTTTCGAAAGTCGTAAGACTCAAGTCGCAGTGCGAAGCAACACGTCAAAAACTCACCTGCTTGGTATGGCGCTTCTGGTCATCGCAGAGCCATGAACTTTTGGCTCGGAGTATAACACATCGTAGTCTCACTGTGACATAATATTATTATGTTTTCTAATCAAAATATCAAGAGAGAAAGTGAATATTGAGTCCGTTCGGTTTGCAACCTATGTCCTATTTGAAACCGTCGCCTCTACAGTGACTGTTACTTGTCCATGTAGCTTGAAGTGTAGAAATCCTTTTGCTTTCCCAGCCTGCTCGGATGAAGACCGTTTAATTCAGCAGGTGGCAGAAAAATTTGGAATTGGGTTAAGCAACATCCTTCCTTGTCTTGATTGTGCTGCTGTGGAGTTTTTAGTAGTATGCAACAATGAAATAGGTGAAGCAAGGTGATGTATCATGCTAGCTACTCATGTAGTGTGCATGCACTTCAAGTTGCTATCACCCGTATAACGCGTATTGTTACGTGACACGCCTTGCATCACGTGATTACGTCACGCCTCGATTGGACGCATGGACGCACCCATATTCCGGATTCATGTTGTTTTTCTCCTTGCTCTTCTTCCTCACTTGGGAATGTAAATAAATAATATTAGTTTCTAAGTCTTGTCACCAAACTAGTTCCTTTTGTCTAGTGGTGTGCATAAGAACACAACACAAGGCAAAGGAAATTGTACAGCGAATTCAAAATTCAAGTACCATAATAATAAGAGTTACAGTTCGCATGTCACTCATGGAAGGATCCATGGGCTTAACGCATCTGTCAACGAAATCCAGGCAGAAGAGCCGACAAAAGGCATCTCATTATTGTTAGAACGTATCGCAGCAAGAACAACTACGCAAGCGCAGCACATTTTTCCACAAGCATCAGCCATTCTTTCTTGTCTAGAGCCAGTTCAAAACAGTCAGAAATATCAATATTGGCGTGCTTTAGATCACTTTTAATATTGTCAATCCATCTGAGATGGGGTCGGCCACGTGGGCGCTTGATGTCCCGGGTATTAATTGCCATCTCCAGTGCTTGGTAGGATGCTGAGTTACGTCCTTCGCGAACAACATGGCCCAGCCAGAGCAGCCGACGTCTGCGACAGGTAGTGCTGACTGGGCCTTGTCGCGTTGAGGCGTACACCTTGGCATTCGACATGTGGTGAGGGTACACCACACCAAGCAGGTACCGCAATTTTCTGCGGTGCCATGCGTCCAGCCGATTACTGAGTTGCTGTGTCAGGGCCCACAGTCCGCAGTTATACAACAGGATAGGCAAAATGAGGGCAGAGAACATACAAAGTCTGGAGCTCAGTTTATGACGCTTCCACGAAATGGAGCCGAACGCTCTATTCGCAGCACCTATTCTTGCCTGAATATCCTCTGCGGACCCTAACAAAGAGCCAAGCAGCTTGACAGATCGCCAAGAGGAGTCGGCTTTAGTTACTGTAATATATTGTGTTTTCTGAATATTTAACATTAGGTTATCTTCTTTGAATTTTTCACTTGATTTCTCCACAATCTCCTCGACTTCTCGCCTCTCCGTGTCATGGATTGTTGTGTCGTCTGCATATTGGGTGGTTGGTGCTGGTAAAGATAAGTGCGATAGTATAGGATCAAGGTGGCGCATGGCTCCCTCAGCATACACATTGTACATGATGGGAGACAGCGGATCCCCCTGCACTACTCCGATATTTGTAGCAAACGCTTTGCCTAAATGAGAACTGAGTTTCACTCTCACCGTCGTGTCCGAGATCAGAGTGGCAACGACATCAGTGGCAGCTCCAGAGTCTGAAAATCGCGCCAACGCCTTCTCACGGACAATGGTATCAAATGCTCCGCTGAAGTCTAATAGTGCGGCAGAGTATTTCCAGTCACCGAGTAGTGCACGTTCGCACATGACACGCGTATAGAAAACTCCGTCAGCCGTGGAGCGTCCGGGTGTAAAGCCTGCCTGACTTTCACGTACATATGAGGTGGTAGATTGTTGTGAACGCATGGTGATGATGCGGGTCAGCACCTTGCGAACAACTGATAGCAGCATGACCGGTCTGTAACTTTTCGGTGCACCCATAGGTTTTCCTCGTTTGTATACTGGCACCAGAAGGCCACATCTAAGGTCAGGTGGGCAATAGTGGAGTTCCTTAATGGAGTTGAATAGGGTAGTCAGCCATGGAGTAATGACAGTCGAAGCCGTACGTAGCAGTGCCGCACTGATCCCATCACATCCAACAGCGCCTCCGATTTTCTGGTGCATGATGGCCTTCCTAATCTCTTCAGAGGTAAATGGTTCGTCTTTCACCTTACTGTTAGGCTGTGCCGGGAAAAGCGTTGGCTGGTCGCTCCGGTAAAACACTGATGCGAAATACTTGCTGAATTCCTCCAAATTCCAATTTACATTTGTGACATTTTCACCACTATCATTTGCGAGTCGTACAGGGGAAGGTTTGTCAGGATTTCAAGTACCATGCAAAATATATATTCAAAGTGCGCTCTCAGCAGTACATATTTGGCAGACTGATCCTTCAAACCCACACTGCTCGATGGCACTGCTTGCTTTAATGTATTGCTAACATAATATACCAGCACATCCAGGTTGGGGACTGCACTCAAACCTCGTTTATCCGGGCGGTCCGGCGTTGGGCACTATATGGGTGTACTTCCTCTGCGTCATTAAAATTGTCGGTTTGCAGATCGCGATGTTTGTGACTTGTTCGTCTTAGTCAGACTGTCGGAATGGCTGTTTTTTTGTACAAACATCGGTGCGACCCTTCCTGAGCAATGTCTACTTGTTACTGAAGCCGCGATGGTCTCGGACTTTGTCGGAGCTCTTTTCCGCACCAAACAACTTCATCGCGCCCCGCACTATTCCGCCCCAGAGCGCGTATCGTTTTCTGGAGTTCGTGCCGTCCCACATCGTTCGCGTGGGCATTTATCAAGACCACAAGCTCGGGTATAAGAATCCTGGCCTCTCTCCTCAAGAAGTATGAAATGCTGAAGTTGAGGATGGCAAGAACAAAGTGTTCTCTAATTTCTAAAACGCGCTACGTGTGGCGCATTTTGTTGCGAAGGCAGAAGGTTTGAAAACAGCGACAAAATCACCGAAGCGCTTGCCAAGGAAAGAAGGTGCGGAACTGCTTACCCTACCCCGCTGGAAGGTCGTTACAGTGTACTAGAAAATTGCTACTGAAGTAGTTTGCCATCATCGCCTGCCACATGGAGGCATGGATCGCATGAAAACGAAGTTTTTTGACCTGAATTTGAATGCCCCTCTTGTCCACTGTATTGTTGAGTGATGAAGGGTCTGCCTCAAACTATGATGAAGATGTCGACCTTACCTGCAAGTGCAGCAAAGCGGGAGGCCACAAGCTAAAGCTTGGTCCGTCGACAATGCTCGGGCTCAATTTCTAGCTGATTTCTTTGCCCTTCGAGTGGACAAAATGAATTTGTAAAATCGCTCTGAGAAACGACAATTAATGACGCGGAGGAAGTACTTTGTGTAAGACCTGTACCTTTGTCCCTTGCCGTAGTAATTCATCACTATCATTCTCTTCAATTGTTCGCTGGACTTCTTCTTCCTACTCTGTATTTTACTATATTGTAACATGGTCTAGAAAAACACTGGTAAGACCAACTGTTGCTCTAGAAGGACTAGCAATCATAAGATGCATAACTCTACCGTAAAAGTCCGTAAATAAGTACCTGCCCGAAAGAAATACCCCCTTCATTCTTTAGGCTCTGTCTGTTGAAGTCAAGTCAAGCCCGATAAACATACTGCCCGGAATAAGTACCGGTACGGTGCGCACATGCAGCACGTAGCATGTACATCGACATGAAAATGACTTCTCCACTACACACAAGTCAGGTCCGAAAGTTAGTTCGTGCCCGAAAGTCAGTACCCGCCCGAAAGTTAGTACGGGTGCTGCGTGGCTCAAGGAGCATGTTTGCTCCTGCCATGCCTGAGTCCCCTGCTGTGCTAGTGGCGGCGGAGGCACGCATCCAGTGAACCTGCACAGTGCAGTGATCCTACTGAGTGACAGACTCTGTAAATACTGTATCTGATGATTCGTTTTTTGTGTGTTGATTCTTCACAAAAAGTGTTATTTTGCCCGTACAAGAGGCTCAGTTTTCCGTGTGACAAAAAAAAAAAAAAAAAAACTAAATTCGAAAGTAAATACGTACTTATTTACGGACTTTTACGGTACTGCATAAAGAGGTTTATTTGTATTCACAATAACTAGACTGGTTTGCCATGAGTTTTATAGTATTAATATTTGGCTTCTCCTCTCCATGTACAGTGCTAGACACATGCAAAGGAGCACATGTGGGATGCTATCATGATGACAACAGAACCAAGTTCTTCTGTGAGTGCCCGAGCGGGAAAATCTACGGCGGTCGTGATCTTGGCTGCCAGGACGTGAGCATTTGCCGCCAGCAGTACAGCACCGAGTGTGTCCTCTTTCCAACATGCACGCTACTGCCAGGCACCTTGAACTACAACTGCGTATGTCTGCCCATGCTGACGTTGTCGAATAACGGATCCAACTGCCAGCAGATAAATGAATGTGCGATGAATACCTCGCTGTGTGCCATGAACGAAATCTGTGTTGATACGTTGGCAAGTTACCATTGTACTTGCAAATCAGGATACTACCGTGAGTCTATACAGATATTTGATATCACAGGAATCCACACTTGGTCATCTGATGCATTTGACTGTACGGTACTCTTTGTCTTGTACATGTAGACTACATCACAGTTCAATGTATTACATCAGAGTTGACCGTACAGTACAGCCTGCCCTAACTGGACGCCCTTGGTGCAGCGGAAACTGTCCTGATATGGCAGAAATCCCCTTGATCCGGGATGTACTTTTCAAGGGGTATGGTCTTTGCACGTCTGGCTCCTGTTCTATTTCTCACCAGTACAAAATTTTTAACTGGTTTTGAGGGAAAGAGACAAACGGGAAAAGTCTGAAGAAAAAATTGACTGTCACCACCAGGACTCGAACCAGGGACCCTCGCTTGTAGCCAAAAATTAATAATATTAATAAAAATTAATAATATTAAATGGAGTATGTTTCTCTTCTACTTCCTGTCAAATCACTGCTGAAGTCGCTACTTCTAAGTCACAAGTATAGTATTAACTTCATAGTGGGTGTGGTACTTTGGGGTATTCTGTGGTCAAGCAATGTGATCAGTTACATACCGGTATCAGGAACAGAGTACATACTTGACAGCTGTAGCACTATGTTGTCCTATTTTGAACAGTTTCCCGGATTTCGGAATGCATAGATGCTGCGTACTATGTTCCGTTTCACTGTTTTTATTTTTTATTTTGGTCGGATGTGTTCCTGTCCTGTTAGGAGGTGGTGGGAAATGCACCAACGCCAATGAATGTGAGGTTGCTGGATTCACACCATGTGGAACAAATGAGGTGTGCATTGATTCACCAGGGTCATACACCTGCCAATGTTCAAGCGGATTTTCGGGTAAATTTTGTTGTGGTGATTATTACAATGTTTGAAAGTGCTATGGCACACATGGGCATTGAGAGGTAATTTAATGTGGTACGACCAGCCATCGAAGGCACAATTTACTTGTTGGGAAGAGGTCACTCTGATGAAAATATTCCAAGATGCGGAGCTCAAAATAATTCAATACGTGCATATTGGTAACCCTTTGTGTGCGGATGACTTGTATCCAAGCGCCTAAACGCCATGCCGGTTCTCTGGTGACACAAGCACTTTGGTTTGCATCGTGCATCGCAGTGAATCGATCAGTGTACAAACTTTCGATACTCTGTGAAAGAGCATCCGACCTCCACAAACGACACACCGTTGGAAAGGTCTTGAGCTCAGCCTTCCAGTGATATACAGTTCTTCGCGATGGGATAACGATTTAGTGAGCGGCGAGAAATTAAGCACGGAAATTACGGCCTGGAGCGTTCACGATTTTTTGTACGTTATTTCGCAGTTGTTTGGAGCATGCCAGGGGATTTCCCTTTGGCACAGCACATGTGTTATGAACATCAAAAAACAACTCAGCTTTGCTGAGCAGTTTGAATCTTGGAAATCGGTTGAATTTGAGCAGTGATCCGAAAAAGAATGTGTGACAGAGCTGTTGTTTCGTTCCAAGGCATGGTGGGCCAGTTTGGGGAGGTCGTGGATGTCACTCTGGCGGGGCTGTGGAGCTGACACCTTCCAGGATGGATTTGCTTGGTCCTCATCTTTCCAAAAAGCCCAGGATGATGAAATTCCATCCAGGTGAACTGAACTGATTATAAAATTTCGTTTGGAGCAGTGCGCCCAAACTCCACGAGGAGAGTCAGAGAGCAAGAGTGCCAGAGTACTGGGGGAAACAGGTCAGCATGCAAAGGGTTGATGGTTACCGGGGTAACTGGGGAAAATAGTGGTACGGTCAATACCATAGTGACTGTAGCTTGTCCGACACTCCTGTCGTAGACATGACATCGCCAGTTTTTTGCATGGATCCATGCACGCTTGGCACCAGGCAGGCACGGTAGGTTGGTCAAAGACCATGATTGAGATACGAGAGGTACCTGGTTCAAGTCCTGCCTTGGAGCGGTTTTTCCAGGCGTGCGCTACCCACAGTCAGCTGGAAACTTGTTTGTGGCCAGGCACAAGGGGTACACTGGGTACCGCTAATGGGGTTTCTCAGCCTTGTGCCAGTGGTTGGGAGACTTATCCCCTCACGCCCACCGTTAGGCCTTGCATCTGCCGCTAGGGTTTATAGGATGCTAGCGGCCGCCATGAGTCCCTTCGGGAACGGCCACGATAGTATACTTTTTCTATTAATTTTATACACGTTCGGGTTTTTTCCCGCACACGGCGTAGAGTCAAGTCCCCCGGTAGTGATTGAAATGGCCCACCCATTGCGGACCTACTCCTTCTACGGAAAAGATCACACCTACTTCCTCAGCATCATTACAATTGTTGCTTGGTGCATTGCTTTGTTTGTAAGTAGCTTGCCTTAGTCAGACTGCCATATTCGCCATTTCATGTATTCCAACATTGGCACAACCCTTTCCATGTAATATCTACTTGTTACACAAGCCGTACTGGTCTTGGAGTTCTCCTCCGAACCAAACAAAATCATCGCGCTCTGCACTATTTCCCCCAGAACGCGTAACTTTTTCTGGAGTTTGTGCCTACATCGTTCCCGTAGGCATTTGTAAAGGCTGCAAGCCGCGGGGAGACCCGAGCGCCATCAGTATGTGTGGCACATGTTGTAAGCTGCCGTTGGAGTGAAAAACTTGTCTGCGCCCTCTAGTTTTAGCCTGGTTCCATAGTTCAGTTGGTTAGAGCATTGATCATGACAAGCAAGGTCCCGGTTTCGAGTACGGGCGGGTCTGTAAATTCTTTCTTTTTTCGGGCAGTTCACTACTGTTGCCTCGTTTGCCTGCCTATACAAGCTGCATTACCTGCCTGGTCCTCCGCAGCTACTCTCTGTTTTGCCACAGCGCCATTTCCCCTCATCCAGCCCCAGAACTCGCAGCGAGCATGGTAGCGTCATTGGCCATGACCACCAGCTCCAACACCAGCTGCTTGCATCTGTCCCGCTGGCATTAAAGCGCTCGTTCCCACACTGCAGTATTAGTGACAGGAACTCCCTCCCCGCCGCTCTTCTGTCCCAGCCTCCCCACAGCAAGGGAATACAAGCATTCAAAACTAATGTTTATCGCCATCTGCGAAGCACAAACTGGCTCTGGGCAGTCGACTCGCTATGATGATGCTCTCGTCGTTCTCCTCTATCCCTATCTATGCACCACAACTGGCTCAGACAACCGACTCGCCATGATCAGCCATGATGATGCTCCTCTCAGTAACAGCCCTTGTAATTTGTTAATAGTCTCACAGTTTCTCCCGCACACTCGCTGTGTTAACCCTTCCTTTCTTTTCATTTTGCTGACTCTTACAGCTCTATCTTTTGTTTTTGGTGCGTGTTTTTGGCCGTGATGCCGAGACCTCAGGTCGGCAGAGCCATCAATGCCCCACCATCACTGCTGCGTCTCGGTGCAGCCCCTGCTCAATAGTTGTCACGTTCGTCCTAGTCTCAGTATCATTGTCTTTCTTTATTATTTTCGAGCTGGGAATGTGAACATAGTAAAAAAATAAATAAAAAAAATAAAAATAAACTTCCCCGACTGATTCTTTGAATTTGAAGTTCTTCCAATCCATTCTAATTCAAACAATTGTGCCTGCTTTTCTTTCCAATCCCAGGATCTGGGAGAACATGTTTGGATGTCAATGAGTGTTCTACAACCGGTAGCAGTGCTGTCACATGTCCACAGAACTCAACTTGCTCAAATACAATTGGGTCGTATGAGTGTAGGTGTGATGCTGGCTTCCAGGATATTCTACAATCCACATCGCCAACATCTCCTCGTTGTGAAAACATTGATGAATGCTGTAATGGCCAGGCTACGTGCTCTGCTGAAATGCTATGCAATGATACCGTGGGATCATATCAATGTCTGTGCAAAACGGGATTCCGCTGGCAAGGTATGTTGGTGATCTTTGTTGACAGTATCGATTCTAAGCACGCTGCGTTTTTTTACACAGCCATATTGGGGAACAATGGAGAACAAAAATACGAGGAAAAGGACAAAACATGGGGGATGTAGGGACAACGTGCCGCTGTGCTGGGAGCAACTCAACCGACCAGTGGCCTCGGCTGTCAGCGTTGCAACTAGGCATCGAAAAATGGAAATGGGGGGGGGGGGGGTGCACAAGAACAACTGCAAAACAAACAGAAGCTACAGAATATCACCAATATGTTGTACATGTGGTTGCTCTTGTAGCTCTGTGTTGTACATGTGGCTGCGCGTGTGTCTCTTTGTCGTACCTATTGCTGCATTTGTGTCTCTTTGTCGTACATGCTGCTGCGTTTGTGTCTCTTTGTCGTACATGCTGCTGAACCGTGGTACACGCTGCACCGCTGTCTTTGACTCTCGCATACATGCGGCTGCACCGTTTTCTGTCCCGTTGCATGCACACTTTCTCGTCTTGTCACGTCTTGTCACTATATATTCCGTTGTCTAAGTCTTGTCTCAGTGCTAATTGTCAGTTAGTAGTTGCTGAATGTTAGTTGCTAGTTGTCAGTTCTCTCGTCGGCTCTTTTTAAAGTGTGTTTTAGGAAAGATCTCTCTCTCTCTCTCTCTCTCTCTCTCTCTCCCGAAATAGAGAACAACAGAGAACTAGGGAAATAGTTACAAAGGTCTAGGGAAATAGTTACTATTTCCCTAGACCTTTGTGTTGTGTGGCGGGGCGAAAGCAGAGAAGTAGTTCGTTCTCCAACCAAGACGACAAACATAATAATTTAGTGCAAAATAATAAGACGAAAATAATGACGCCGAAAAGCACTAAATAAGAAATTTAGAAAAGAGAAATCAGAAACCGCAGGTCGCAAAACCTGCACCAAACAATAATTTTAATAATAACTTAACCGATTTTCCCTGATGATAGTCTCAAGAAAATCGATTAGGAACAACCATTTTAGATACATGTATTCTCATTCATCATTTTGTAATGTCCGCTTCACTATTACTATTAATCGCATTGATAAAAATAACTTAACCGCGTGAAAAGCAAGAAATCGTAACAAACAAAACAAACGAATAATAAAAGGTAAATGAAACTCAATATGGTGAAAAGAAGAAGGAAAAAAATGTTACGCGTTATGACTAACTGCCCACCAACGTAACCAGATATTATACAGTCAGCGAGTGCGACAAAATGGCACACAATTGCCAAGGAGTACTTAGACATTCGGCGACCTGATACCTAGCTCCAACTCTTCTCCAAGGCGTAAACCAACAACCTTCCAACTTGGAAGGCTCGGGTCCGGAAAGGTCCAAGAGGGAAGGAAAGCGCAATGAAGAAGAGCACGAGCTACACATCACGGCAACAAAGAATGCCGAAAGTTACTTGAAGATGACGAAACTAGTAAGGCTATTGGACATACCGGCTTTACTACAACTCGACGACGCAAAGCAACAGACCACCCAATTTGGGAGGCTCATGTTTATGTAATAAACGTAGAAAGGGGAAGCTAAGCGAAGACAAATTGGGACAAATGGAAACATCAACATCCTACTGAACTCCACTATCATGTATGATGGACTAGTTATGTACAATAACAAGTAGTTCCACACGACGTACATTTTGCCATACAGGTCATGACGGCTCATCAGGTGTGCAAAATTCAACTCGGGTGGTGAGCCAATTAAATTATGGTGAAAAGGAGAAGGAAAAAATGTTACGAGTTATGACTAACTGTCCACCAATGTAACCAGATCTTATACAGTCAGCGAGTGCGACAAAATGGCACAAATCTGACAAGGGGTGCTGAGACATTCGGCGACCTGACACCTAGCTCCAACACTTCGCCAAGGCGCAAACCAACAACCCTCCAACTTGGAAGGCTCAGGTTCGTAAAGGTCCAAGAGGGGAAGTAAAGCGCAGTAAAATACTAAGTAATGGACAACTCGTTTGCTTCGCCCTGTTCACTGCACTTCAGGTGCTGTATAGTCTTTGAACTGGTGGCTGGAAGTGTGAAGAGGCAAACTGCAGTCCACCAATAGAAAAAATAACAAAATGGTGCAGTATAGGATGCCTATTGACGCTTTTTTGTTTTCATTACCAGAAATCCATACACTGAAATTTAGGCCAAAAAATAACCTGCAAAAACGTCCTGTTATCATGTATCTGGGATCACGGCATGAGCAATTGTAAAGATGATGGATTAGGCCAGACAAAAAATACAAAAAGATATGAAAAATGTAAAACACACAGCCAGTGGGATTCTATTTTATTTTATGTCCAGAAATTGCTATTCACCTCGTACATATCAGTGCATTGGGCTGTATTTGGATAGTTAAAAGTTCCTGATTATTTCAAGTTGGGGCCTGGCAAGTAGAGGTTCGAATTAAAGGGAGTCTACCTGTATTCGTATTTTGAAAAATCGCCAGGACTCCGGTTCTTGCTACCGATGCCTCACATATAGATAGAAGAGGAGTTGAAATAATATGACTGTGTATGAAATGTACTGGTGCTAGACATATTCCTACAGTAAGCAGATCATGACATTGTACTAGGAAGATACTACAGTGCTTCCAAGTACTGTACTCGCTATTCAAAAATTCGCGCTCCTTTGCTGTAGTGATTATTCGGAATCAGTCATCAGCTAGAGAAAGAGAGATTGCTCAAGTGGTGCTTGTCATTCGTATGCTTTGTTCTATGTTTACTCCTGTCATGTTCCTCCTTCGTATAATCGGTAAACTCACAAAACTACAAAACTGTCTGTTGAGAGTGCCTTGGAAAAGGACTGTTTAGCAAGAGCAGCTAGCAACTGCAAGGATATGCAGCTGCACTGACAACATCTGTAGACAACTGGGGCAATTGCTTCTAACTTTCTTCCTTGAAACCGATGCTAACAATCCGCGACTGTCAATGCTTATGTTGTCCTCCTAGGAAAAGATGACTTTTGTGAAAATATCAACGAGTGTCAAACCTCTGCTGAGAATCCCTGTATGACCACATCGCAGTGTATTGACACTGATGGGTCATTTGTGTGCCTGCCAATTTGGCGTGGAGAAGCCCTCTTCTCATCATCGTCATCCTGCACAGCAGGTGAGTCTATTATGGTTTTATCTGGGTTGGAGCTAATAGTGTAAAGCATATTTAGAGTTTGGAATTTGAAGAGGACTTGACTCGAGGACAGTCTTGATATATTATTTTATCATGGCTCTTCTGTGCACTGAAGAGGGAGTATTTCAGTCTAATGGTGCTGGTCTGCACCTGTACTTGTGATGTCGCGTACGCGAGCTTTGCGATTTGAATCCCGATTACCTAGCTATAATTTTACTGCTTCCCGTTTTTCTCATCGGATCCATGCTACTTCATTTTTTTATTTCCCCCTCCGAGGCGCATATGCCATCCTTTCTCGGGGCTTTTTGACTTTTGCTTAGAGAGAGAGAGGGGTCCTGAAATAGAACCTTTAAATATTTATGGCAATGCCGCAGTGATGATTGTTAGTTCGTGTAGAAGCATGTAGCCCTTTAGATGCAAGAGTGAACCCAGGGCGCAGAGTTGAACTTGTTCTCCACATGTGATGAACACATTAATTACGCCATCGTTTTTTAAATCTATGTTTCGCGTCATCTTTGCGCATATGTTTTGATTGTTTCCGAAAATAAAAAAGATCATGCACATGAAAGGGCCTGCTCCCCCGTTCCCCGCAACAACACAACCCTCTCACTCATAGATATCACGGAAGGCATTGTTATTATCTGATATAGCTGCACAAATGCAAATATTTAGCGAGAGAACGGGGGAGGGAAAGACCACGAACTCATAAACGACTAACAGCTATACACAGGCTAAAGGGCGAACAGATCAAAACGACCAATGAGCGACCAGTACGTACGACACACGTGACAAGAACCAAGACAACAACACCGTGGACGAATCACACCATTCTCTCGCACCCAAAACTTTCTCTCGCATACGTCGAAGCTGGGATCCAAAAATGGCCTCGAGGCCAGCGTTGGCAAATCGTTTGTTCTGCAACTGCGACCAGTATTCTATGAGCTTACACCAGACTGCATCTATTGCCTCAAGCTGAGACAGCTGCTGAAGGCGGAGTACAATAACCCAGCGAAGCATGGACACCAATGGTTGCCTCCTCTGTCAGAAGTGAATATTGCTGATCTGTCCACGACCTGTCTGGAGTTGTCCAGTGTACCTGCTGTCCAAGTGACCTCCTGGACGAACGTCCGAGATGGACTGAGATCGCTTGCAAAGTCCTTGCAGAAGTACAGAGTACATGAAGTCGAGAACAAAGGACATGTACAGTTGGCACAAGCGTTTGGAACAAACAAGGTCCACAGGTAGCAACTCCAATCTTGTCAGACACTCTAATCGTATTCGCACTGGCGACAACTGCAGGCAGTATGCTTTGGTGGAAACAGCGCAGCGTGATCTTGAGCCGTATCACAGTCCTGTGCAGCTAAATGCCATGGTCCCAGCAGGTAACCGTGCCACAAAGTATAGGTTCATTCTCAACCTCGAGCTTCCTTTCTCATACGGGATGTACTCTTATGACCCCGGCATAAATATTGGGTGCTTTGGGTATGGTTCGGCCATGTTGCTCGGGAAGGTCCGGGCACGGCTTCCTATGGCGCGCTAACCATGGCCATCGACACGTCACAGATCAAGCATCCACGCGGACGGCCAAGGCTTCGGTGGAGTGATGTGGTGGAATCCGACATCTCCCCTCTCGGACACACGCTCGAGGATTGCCTCAACACTGCACGGGAAAAAAGGCTATGGCTGGACTTCGTTGACAAATGTACATCGGTGTAAAAAATGGCATGTACTAGTCATGTGCTAGAACCTGTATACATTTTTTTCTTCGTATTCTATTCTTCCTGCTGCAATCTATTTCATGGTGAAACAGTTGACAGATGCGTGGAACCCATTATTTGGGAGACATGCGACCTGTAATACTACAGTATTATCATTATTTCCTCCGGAAACAAAAACTCCGTAACCTTTTTTCACAACCTTTCCCTGCTGTTATTTCGCTCGCTCTCTGGTTCTGTCAGCCTGAAACACAGACATGAAATTTCGAAATCATAGGAAAGCATGATTCATATTTTGGAAAGCCGACAGTCGTCGCAGAGCAAGGGTGTCGACGCTGCAAACAAAGCAAAGCGAACATGTATTTCATTTTTCGCCCACCAGGCGCAATGGGAAGAAAAGCACTGCGCTAACTGCTCGTCGTAGCTATTTTTAGTCCAGGACTTGACAGAGCAGGACAATGGCACCGAGGAGCAAGAAGAGTGTACATAAATTATCAATAGCAGCTAGCGTTTTCAAATCTTAGCCATCCCGAACTGCCAGTCTGCATGCGAGCGGGTCGGCAAGATGTCAAAACCCCAAGACGCAGAGATGTGACAATTGTCACTTCGCGCAGCAGAGCAAGATGAACAAGTTCAAAATAGAAGTCGTTCAAAGCGCAGACCCCAACATGGATGATCTCGCCTTTTCCAACAGCCTCGACGATGTGTCCTCGGTCACAAAGGAGAAGGCGAGATCTGGTCGCGGCAGTCGGGAAGTGCTGGTACGACTATGATATCCCTTGGAGGAAATTTGAAATGTTTGGCGTTGCCTGTGTTTGTTGTTCCGGGCATCCTCGAGCGAGAGCGGAGGCGGTAATGAGTACCAGTACTGCAGCACTACCGTGGTCTCCGACGAAATGTTGGAGAAGGAATTCAGATAACAGCAAAGACGATCAACGACGCGGAGAAACTTCTCCTAGACATACGACATCGCATCGTTCAACCTGCCACTTGGAACGGTTTCAGCGGTAATGAGTCGAGCGATGACGACCCAGACTGAGACTCTACTCCCACTAATCAATCCTGCAGGTATTGTAGATATGTCGATTGAATGTGTTGAAGTGTTTCTCGTCCAAAAAAACACTTTTGTTGAGCACAGTAACTCCTTGAAAATTCATGTCAAAAAGTCACGGAGTCTTAGTTTCCGGAGGAAGTATTATTATTGGTGGATTTGGAAAGTATCGGTAGACCTAGCTGATCCTGATTCCACGAAAAGTATGCAGTTGGTGAAACAGTGCGAAGACACTCCAACATATGCGACCTGGGCTATGAGGAGAGATTTCGCGAACACACAAATGGTCCTAAGGGACATGTATCGCTATGTTTCCGGAGACATGTCTCAAGAGGCTTGCCCAATGTATAAAGCCGTCCACCAGCGACTTGCTGTAGCGTTGGCTCAGGATTCTGATCAGGCGTTTGATTTGCGGGAGCTGAACGAGGGTAGAAGTAGCCGATATGATCTATTTGGGACGAATGTCACCGGTTCCTGCAAGACCAAGCATTGGCTGCTGTAGATGATCGGTGTCATGGTCAAATTGTACACATGGCAGCTGCAATATCAGTGCCTGACTGTATTGAACAAGCCGCCAAACTTCTGCCAGCAGATAGCCCCATACCATGTGAGTCGTGGGTGACGTTGCAGTTTTCTCCCAAAATTCCAGCCTACAATGCAGCCGCTGATTACACAGGGAAGCTGCAAATCATGCACATGGTTCAAGCCTGGCAGTCAAGTTACGACCATCCAGATGGGCCCTTTTCTCCAATTGGCCAGCTGTCCAGCACACTGACTCTCTTGGTGTAGTTTGCGCGCACAGGTCTGAACGAAATTTATTCTCATTCACTCCAACTTGATGGATTTTCATCATCCTGGGCTCGTTGGAAAGATCAGGACCAAGCAAATCCATCATGGTAGGTCTCAGCGATATAGACACACCAGGGCCACTTCCACCTCCTCTCCAAACTACACCACCGTGCCTCGGAACGGCACAACTCAATTTGCCCAAATTCTACCGATTTTCACGATTCGAACTGCGCTGCAAAGCTGAGATCCAAGGCCTTCATTTGATGTCCATCACGCATGCATCGTGCCAAAGGGAAATCCCCTAGCACGCTCCAAAAACTGCAAAGTCATGAACCAAAACATTCGCGTTCGCTCCGGGCCGTGATTTCGGTGTTCATCCTGTCGCCGCTCAGTGCTTCTTTATCCTATCGCGACGAACCTTATATCCCCGGCAAGATGAGCTCAAGACCTTTCCAACGGTGTATTGAGTGTCGCGATATATTTATGTTTTACGGCGTTACGATAGTTTGTACACTGGTCTATGCACTGCAATATAATGCGCGTTTGCTCCGGGCCGTGATTTCGGTGTTCATCCTTTCGAGTCTTTATCCTATCGCGACGATCTTTATGTATCTAATATTGACTGAGTACGAGGTCAATATAGGAAATAAAAGACCTCGTAAAAGACTACGGCTTCGCCTCGGTCTTTTACGAGGTCTTTTATTTCCTATATTGACCAAATACGAAGTCAATATTAGATGTATCACGACTAACCAAAGCATGTGTTCAATCGCTAAAATGGAGTCAAATATAAGCAGTCAATATAGCCCTAAGGAGTGACACATGCAGGAATATTTGACTGCTTAGGTATAGCAAAAATCTATGGGAGTCAATACTAAGGGAGTCATACATCACTGGAAAGATGAGCTCAAGACCTTTCCAACGGTGTATTGATTTTCGCGATGCGTTTATGTTTCACAAGGTTACGATAGTTTGTACACTGGTCTATGCACTGCGATATAATGCGCGTTCACTTCGGGCCGTGATTTCAGTGTTCATCCTGTCGCCAATCAGTGATTCTTTATCCTATCGCGACAAACGTTATATCCCCGGAAGGATGAGCTCAAGACCTTTCCAACAGTGTAATGATTGTCGCGATGCGTTTATGTTTCAGGGAGTACGACAGTTTGTACACTGGTTTATGCACTGCGATATAATGGAACTTGAACTGACGCGAAACATAGAATAAACATTGGTGGCCTTATCACGTTGTATGAGATGACTCACTCCTCAAGATCTGGACCCGGAGACGCCAGATCCGTGAAGATCTTAGGCTACAACGCCTACGTCATCCCTGTTCTCACCTACAACTGCGGACCTTGGGGGGCTATCGACGGTGGAGCTCGCACGAATGCATCCATTCCACAGGATCAAGCTAAGGAGCATCATCGACATGCGATATCCGAAGAGAATCAGCAATGACACTCTGTACAAGCGCTGCAGAGCTGCCCCCTATCAGCGAGATGATCACAAGGCAGCGCTACAGTCTCGCTGGCCATATCTTTCGTTTGGCCCCAACTGCTCCTCCACAGCTGGCAGTGGATATGTATCTTCGCTTGGCCAACGACGAGGGCACTGAACGTTTCAGGGTCGACCTCGGACAACTTTGGTAACCGTCTTGCAGACGGAATTGTCATCATGGCATGGACTTACCCTCCACCAGCCACTAGATGCTGACGCAGTCCGCACAATGGCAGCGGATCTACAGGCAGGGCGTGGAGCCCGCCCCACCTAACAGGACTGATTCTCGTGATTCACGTGATCCGCGTGATTCCGCAAGACATGTTGTATGTATGTATGTATGTATGTATATTCTATGTTTTTTCATACTTTCGATTAAGTTTTCCGTCATGCCAATAGGTTTAATAGGTTGTTCATTTGACCCGACGAGACCACACGACGCTTCCAGACCACAGGACGAACCCATTAGGGATTGCTGCTAACGGCTTTTGTCACGTAATTTCTGTCATTTCTTTGTATTGTATTACTCTTCAAACATCAATCCTGAATGGCATAAGCGAAAGTGGCACCCCCTCCACCTAAGCGGACATGCTTTTAATAACGAGAGAGCTTGGAAGCTCAGGGCCTTACGCTAGGCTTTTTGCGTAGCTAATCGTGCATGTTATAAGAACTGATGGAAATATACATTATACACAATAGTGAGAGTTCTCTATATATGTTATATTATGCTATTGGCCTACATGCGCTTCCCGGGCTGGTCCACAGGCAGGCCAGCCAGCCTGCTAGTGGGATCTCGGCCTTGCACACAAATCCGTGCTCAACCCCTGCTATAAATGTGTTATTAGTAGGCAGATTGGACCATTGAGCAAGTCGTAAAGAATAAATGGGGCAGATACGTACATTTTTCAAAACCCGGCTTCGTGTTATGTGTAATTTGTGTCGAAATTGTAGTATTTCAACAGGACAACATCACTGGCTGTACTGGCTTGAAATGTGACAACACGACAACGCCCGAAAACGATGCCTAAACGGAACGAAATGGAAACGCACTTCAAAGTGTTTTGAAACGTTTTCGTTCTCGCGTAAACGGTGAAAACAGTGAAAACGATTGTAAACAGAGCGCGGACATGGAAACCATTCCGCGCAGGACTATATTTCGCGGGAAATACCCAACCCTCGGGACCACCAGCACTGACCAACTGCAACTAACGTGTTGTTTTCCCGCCCTTGCGCCCAGCCAGCACGTGATAACTCCACTCTCCAGGCCGCTGATCGCCCGTTTTTCGTTTTCGTGTAAACGGTTCAAAACAATGTGCCGTTCTCGTATGAACGGTTTGAAAACGATTCGAGGACAGCCCGAGAAAAATAACGATCTGCAATAAATTCTACAAATACTTTTGCCTAACTCATATTCAAACTGATTGAAACGTTTTTGCAATACAATGATGTAGCCAATCAAAGTAAAAAAAGCATTTCCATCAGTTCTAATAACATGTGCGGTGAGCTAGACAAAAAAGCATAGCGTAGGGCCCTGAGCTTCCAAGCCCTCTTGTTTGTTCAGCAACTCGCAAATTCTATTGGGAAATTTGCAGCATACTGAAAATGGCAATAGCCGCAGTATACCATAGAAGCTGCGACAAAATCGGCAAATTGATATGTTGGAGCACTCCACCACTCCACACTGCGCTCTTGGCCCACATTCACAACACCATACTGTCCATAGGGAGGAAATTCGTTCTCGGGTAGAATTGCATATCCGCCTTAGTGTAACCATTAAACTAAACCTTCAGTTTGACGGCTTTACATAAACTCGGTGCGATTTAGGAGATTTTTTGGAAAAATCTTTTTCCTTCAATTTTTTCTATTCAGGTGTTACAAGGACCATGGCAACTGTTCAAATCGCTGCGCTAGCTGTGGGAGCCATATTACTCGCTTGTGCCATTGCGAGCCTTCTAGTGTTCATCAAGCGGAGAAAACAGAAGCAGCGTGACAAGAGAATGCAATCAGAAAATGCGAAGCACGATCCAGAGCTCAAGGAGGTTATCCTTCACCCCAGGCCTGACTTTGCAAGCCATCCACGGCTGGGCAATCCTCGAGCTCTACCTTCGACAGCCAACGCCAACACTGGACACACCTCTGGTCCAGTTGCAAGCAGTCCGCCGGATGGGTCCACCAACATCAATTCTCAGCAGGCGCGATACAGGGACACTTCCCAGCAATGGGGCTTCGTCCGCAACGACGCATACGGCATTCAAGCGAACACAGGCATACCACAAGACGGTGGACATACCCCACATCTGGAGTCCAACGGGAGATTTCCCAGCTTTCAGGAATCGGATTATGAAATGACCACCTAGATGGTGACCATACAAAGCCCTCACTTTGCCTTCTCTAGTAAGTCAATTGGCTTATATCTTCCTTCTTCTTTCTCTCACTATCTTTATCTCTATCTCACTCCCCTATCCCCCCCTCTCTCTCTCTCTCTCTCTCTCTCTCTCTCTCTCTCTCTCTCTCTCTCTCTCTCTCTCTCTCTCTCTCTCTCTCTCTCTCTCTCTCTCTCTCTTCCCCTGTCTGTCTGTCTGCCTGTCTGTCTGCCGATCTGTCTGTCTGTCTGTCTGCCTGTGTGTCTTTCTGTCTCTCTCTATTTTTCTCTCTTTCTCTGTCTCTCTGTCTGTCTGTCTCTATTTCTCTCTCTGTCTATCTCTCTCTGTCTTTCTGTGTGTGTCTCTCTCTGCCTCTCTCCCTCCCTCTCCCTCTCCCTCTCCCTCTCCCTCTCCCTCTCCCTCTCCCTCTCCCTCTCCCTCTCCCACTCTCTCTCTCCTTCTTTCTCTCTGTCTCTCTCTCTCTCTCCCTCTCCTTCTCCGTCTCTCTCTCTCTCTCTTTCTCTCTCTCTCTCTTTCTCTCTCTCTCTCTCTTTCTCTTTCTCTTTCTCTCTCTCTCATGCACACGATCTCTTTCTCTCTCCTAGTACCTGTACTTCTTCTGCAGCAATAACCAATTCACCATCTCAATTGGCTGCCCTTAAGTTTCTTATATTAACTTCAGTACTTATTTTCCTTTTTTCTATTCTATCGAATATGTTGCATTTGATGCATGTTCCTGGCGCTGAACCCGAAACCATCACGGTGGGAGATTTGCCCCCCCCCCCCTCCCCTGTATTGTCACGTCTTCTCCTTCGTCCTGTTTTCTCGCACCGTTCTCTCCTGGACTGTGCACTTCAGTAAAAAGTTTGCTTTTAACACTGCAGTGGAACAGTTCCATATGCAGGGGCTAAAGCAGGCACATCATTTGCTCGCATCTCCAGTTCAATGGTGTACAACACTCTGTGCTGCATTATAATTATTATAGTGACTGTGTGTAGTTACATTCTGTTCTTTCTGCATGGACCCAATTCTCATCACATAATTATATTCTCCCACATAACAAAACAGATGTGTATGTGTGTGTGTGTGTGTGTGTGTGTGTGTGTGTGTGTGTGTGTGTGTGTGTGTGTGTGTGTGTGTGTGTGTGTGTGTGTGTGTGTGTGTGTGTGTGTGTGTGTGTGTGTGTGTGTGTGTGTGTGTGTGTGTGTGTGTGTGTGTGTGTGTGTGTGTGTGTGTGTGTGTGTGTGTGTGTGTGTGTGTGTGTGTGTGTGTGTGTGTTTGTGCTAGAACCATTTCCCTAACCACTCTTCTTAACTCTCTGTGCATGCAGGAGTTTTCGTGAGTTCTTTTCAAGAGTTTTCTAGTTCGATTTCCGTATTCCATTACTTTGGATCATTTTTGGGCTGATCTTGCTTCTTTGGATTATTAGTCAAGTGGTGTGCTTCACTGTCCGAAGAGTGCTCAATACCCATGCATGTATGGCACAGCCGTGTACACAAGAGAGATTGGAAGCTTTGTCACAACTCAGTCTCTGAGTTTCACGTATTACTACGATCATCAGGCAACTGATGGCTCCAAAACGGGCAGCCAGAACACCATTCTTTTGATTATAATAATTTATTATCATAGGCTTTTCTGCGCCGGCATCGCCTAGCAAGCTTGGCTAGCCTTCGCATAAGCTGCTCGATGATCACTAGGCCCTGGCGGATAATGCCGGCAGAATTTCGAGCAGAATATGGGTTATTTTAGAAAAGGAGCAGAATGAGCAGAATTCGGCAGAAAAGTGCAGAAGAAGGAGCAGATACTGTGCAGAACCAGCTATGAAATGCGGAGAGGGCTGCAGGCGCCTATTTACGGCTCCATTGTGTTAACAAGCGCGTGAGAATCCGGCAGAATACGAGCAGAATGGGGCAGAATACCGGCAGAAGACGAGCAGAATGTCGAGCAGAAAACGCTACTTTTCCGAGCATTATCCGCCAGGGCCTAATGATCACGTGACGAAACAATGAATGCATGCATATTACGATCTACAGTGCTGGCAACTGAAATCCGACCCCCCTAGCGTCTCGTACGAATCGCTAACGCGGCTAGCGCACCGCTAGGGGGGGGGGGGTCGGATTTCAGTTGCCAGCACTGTAGGACTGAACTAAAGTTGAGGATATTTTAGAGAGAAAAAAAGAAGAAGAAAAGCTGCAAGTTGTGTTGAGGAACGCAAAGTTACAAACTGTACGAAAGTAAGCTGCAAAAATGTTTTTAGGTTGATCTCATGAGTATTGCAGTTGTAGTTGTGTTAGTTGTGTTAGTTGTGTTAGTCGCATGAAGGGTTATGTTTTCACGGGTATGTTGTTTACATTCCTATTCATTTGCAGGGTAATATTTTCACGGAATATGTCGATCAATGAGTTATGCGCAGCCGCCACACGGGAAAGCAGCATTAGGCATTGATGTTTGCTTTCATCACATTGCTGCATGGGTCTTTCCATTCTTGTCGTGACTGGGAAATGGCATGGGCGTTCTCAAGGTCCTCGCGTTTCTTGAGTGCCCCCCCCCCCCCCCCCCCATACGCTGCAGGTCCTGGTGCAGACTCAGTGGCAGAGTGGTACGTGGCCGACCCCGCCAGGTGGATGTGAATGCTTTTCTTTCTTTTTCTCTGTCTTTTATGAACGAATACTTTGCTCTCGTCTTAGAATAGCCGTCCAGTTCGTGACCAGACAGTTGTATGGATTGTGTTGACCATCGTGCAGACAATGCTGCCAATGAGATAATAATGGCAAATGGAAGCCCATACCATGTGGAGTGAGCAGAGCGCCAGTTAGCTGAACTGTTTTAAAAGCACTGCTGGAGTTGGTCAACGGACAATCATTAATTTTACAGAATTGTGGGGAGAAGAGATGAGATGATAGGTGGAGGGACATTCTGGGCTGCTTTTCGTGTAGAGAGGTAACTAGGATATGTAATGCCACGAACGTATCATGCTGAACTGGTGGTAGACAAAATACGAACTATGGTGGACATACATGTATGTGATGGACGATAGTACATCTCCCTTTCAAACTCTCTGAATAATGGATTTGTAGATGGGACTTAGCACATTTTGTGCAATCCAACCCCTTCCTTTTGTGTTCTTTTTCTTCGAGTCTTTCTTCTCTCGTCTTTCCCTTCTTCTGGCCGCCACTCTGTCACTCTGTCACTCTGGCTTGAGCTATCCCTTTGTTTTGCACTGCTGTACCTATATTGTATGTCCAGCATAAGCAAATGTAGGGACTGAGCCAGTGTCAAAAGGGCTGACACGGCACCAGGAGTGCCAATAATACCAACTCTTCGTCCACGCAAGAGTTTTCTTTGTTCAATTTCTGTATTCCATTACTTTTGATCATCTTTGGGCTGATCGTGTTTTGTTATATTTCAATGTTATCGAATGCTTTGCTCGCGTCTATGAATAGTACTCCAGTGTGTTGACCAGGGATTTGTATGAACCCTGTGTTGACCATGGTCCAGACATTGCTGACCCTGGGATATGGCAAATGTGAGCTCATCCCATGTAGAGTGAGGTAGAGCGGCTAGCTGAGCTGTTGGGTGCCGGGAATGATGTTCAATTCTGGATCGGATTGGCGTTTTTGCACTGCTGCAGTTGGGAAACACAAGTATGAGATGATAGGTGGAGGAATTTTTATTTTATTTTTTTTACTAAGTACACAACCTACTCGTCAGAAGGGGAGAAGACAACAGAGTATACAATAACAAAACAGCAGGGAGAGTAGGGGTTGCAAAGCAAGCCTGTGCTGGTGAGGCAAGCCCACAACACCGACCTATGCCGGTCTCGGTGTTAACGTGAGGTTGCGCACCATAGCCTAAAGAAGGGGGTGATTTAGCGATAAAGACAAGAGAAGGTTAGGTAGAATGGTTGAGGAGAGAGAGAGAGAGAGAGAGAGAGAGAGATAGAGAGAGAGAGAGAGAGAGAGAGAGAGAGAGAGAGAGAGAGAGAGAGAGAGAGAGAGAGAGAGAGAGAGAGAGAGAGAGAGAGAGAGAAAGAGAGAGAGGGAGAGAGAGAGAGAGCATGGACGCCGATTTTAGATGTGGGAAAGAAACCCAGGGAGATAGATCAGTTACCATGGTTACGAATCCGGGAGAGGCGAAAATGGCGTCGCCCTTGGCGGATAATGGTCGAAAAATTGGCAAATTCTGCTCGAAAAGCAGTGGATTTGTCAGAAACATACCAAGCTTATCCATTTCTTTATCCACATACCAAACACGCATTAAATATACATGTACATACATCATGTACATGTACCAGAAAGGGTACTACTAAATTCTGCTTTCTGTATGCTGGCATTATTCGCCAAGTGCTAGAGTGGCTCTATACCATCGCACCAAAAAAATGCAATAATGCAGCAGCAATGGAGTCTGGGAGTCAGAAAGATCACTGCATGCCGGTGTACCACTGCTACTACTAGGCGATATCGTGCCCACTGATGATGGAACTTCTGCACAAAGACGTCGATGCCATCATGATATTCATTCGGTCCGCCCATTCATTGTCTAGTACGGAAACTACTTCAAGTAGTCATGTAATTAATCATTGTAATAGTTCCTTCCATGGAGGCCACACGACAAACTAATCCCCGGTTAAGAATTTTGAATTTCCGCACTTGTTTCCACGAAAATTCATGTCGCCATGGTTCAACTTGATGATGGTTGTCATGACTACTTTGTCTGAATGTACACTGGGCTAGGGAAAAGGCAGCTTGAACGATCCGAAGTACGGTAAAAAGGATTGCGTTTATGTTAGCGTCTTTTTAGCTAAGGATGTCTAATGTGAGCAGGTACATACGGAAGAGACGACAAGAGGTAGGATGTTTGCCTCAAGAGAAGCTTACAATAGTCATGTAGATGGGGAGTCTCTTAGCCGGTTTGTGCGTGTTGTGGGTAGCTCAAAAGTTCGGGGGAACCTGAGCGTGCGAATGGGTTGTATTCGGTTGTTGTTGTTGTTGCTGCAGCAACAGCGATACATGTAGCGGTGTCCACAACAACAACAACAACAACAACAACAACGCAACTTTGATGTGCAAATATTGAACAACACCAGCGTGTAGACGGGGTGTTCCGACGTGGTGAAGGCCTACCCTAGGCCGCGTCGGGACGTCACCAACCCCGTCTACAGAGAGTACCTTTTCACGACAGTGTCATGGTGGTGACAGTAATTGTTGTCAGCTGACGAGCTGAGAGAGGGACGCCAAAGGCAGAAGTAACTTAGTTGGACAACGAAAGAAACGACATTATTTCGTTCGCTAATTACCGCTACCCGTCGTCTCACGTGGCTTCAGAATAGGTTACGAGAGATAGGAGAGTCTCCAGCAGAAGGCGCATCCATCGTCAGGAAGTGGAAAGAACAAACGGCATGGTCCTTGGTTGAGGTAAATGCTGAACGTTTGATTTGTCCCAACCAAGATTTCAGCACTTGGTTCGTCACGATTTTCGCTTGCCAGCTAACGTCTCCGCACTCCAGCTTTCTCCTGTCGGTGTCACGTCCCAGTACACAACGGAGAGAACTATTAATAAACAGTTCACGGCACTAACAGCATTGAACACAGCACGTCTTTCACTTCGTGAATACAATACGACAACTGAAAATGACACAATTCTGCAGTGATCCACCTTCTCTCTCACGAAGCTACATGTAACTTGTAAGCAGAATGTGCGTCATTACCTGCAGTCGCCATGGAAACGCAATCAGAAAATCGGCGATATGGCAAGTTTGCAATATCGTACGGAGGCGAGAGATATACCATCGGAACCGATATGAAATTGTCTTTCATCTGAGCCCTACTTGAAAAATCGATGCACTTCCCCTTTAATTAAGCTCCGCCGACCAGAGTACTGAGTATCAAGTTGATTTTTAAAAAATTTAAGACATTCAGGAGCAACAAGGTTTATCTACTCGAAGTAATTATTATTTGTAATGCTGTAGCATGAACATGCACACATGGCCGGCAATAATATTATTGTACTTCACGAACCTGAAATTTGTGAAACGTCAGCCGATGCTACATGTACATGTACATGTATAATTATGTAGGTAAAACTTAAAGGGGAACTACACCCAAAAATCAAAACTTCATGGTCCGTAGAGTTTTGGACGCTGAGTCGAATGGTGAAGGTCCCACTTCGATCCGACCAAGCGTTCTTGAGATATATCAGTTTGCAATTGTCCTTTTCGGGTCCGTGCCGTGACGTCACAAACCCGTGACGTCATTGAGACTTGGTGATCCTTTGGCCAGATCCA